AAAAGGTCATCAAAAAGTCTTCTCCACATCATTTCACCAGCTGTTAATAGTCCAAAACGAGAGCTTCTTCTCTTCAGACTTCCCTCCAAGATATGACTTAATCATTAAGCACCTCCTACAAAAGCCAAGATGCAGCCGGGCAATGCTGTTGGAATGCTGCAGCATCATAGTGCAGTGAACTGAGTCAAAAAATGTTATCTACTCCAACTTGTTGTAAAAACATATTCATTATCACAATTAGCTCCAAACATAATAAATGGAAAATAAAGAAGTAAAAATGACTCAAGGTTGGGATAAACTATGAAAATCTACCTAATAMRWATAAGAARTAGGTACTTTAAGCATGTAATAAACCATGCTTATCAATTACGTAAAAAACCGCCAAACCGCTAATTAGAATGGTTGAAATTGGGTTAGCATAAGTGAACCCAGCCCAAACCGCTAACCCGCCGCTAATGTATATATATATATTTTTATAAAATTATATGTATATATATATGTGTGTGTGTGATATTACAAAAATTAAGGAGGTGTTTGGGAATTCATCATCCCATCATACCCCTACCATCAAAGAATGATTCTAAAGAATCTCAAAGGAAAAAAATTATTGTAATCATTTTTGCAACAACAACAAATGGACGTGCCGGAAAACATGAACGACGTTGATAGATATTTGGTTGATGGATCTATCAATCCAAAGGCTCCATCATTTGACGTAGTACTTTGGTGGAAAGATAATACTAATAGGTATAGCATTTTGTCTATGATAGCTAGAGATGTTCTTGATAAGGTCTATCTACCGTAACATCTTAATTCACCTTTAGTACTAGCGGTCGTATTTTAGACTCATTTAGAAGCTCTTTGAGTCCAACAATGGTGGAGGCTCTTATATGCACACAAATTTGGTTGAAAGATAATAATGAGGGGATTCTAATAAGTGAATGTTTAGATGAAATTTCATTTTATTACTTTTTTGAAGAATGTAAACTTAATGATGATTCTTTTTTTTCATGCTTATATAGTTACATATTCTTAATAAATTGTTTACTATTCTTTTTGAATTGTAAACAAGCTCAAGGAGAATGCAACATCAGAGTCGGGAAGGTCAAAGACGGTCGTACTTTATTGAGCATTTAAATCGTACTGAATTATGTAAGTTACATTTAGGCTATGGGATGCATAGTTCTTCTTTTGTTGTTTTTAGCAGTAAGTTGTTCTTATTTATTTTGAACTCTTTCGTTGAGTAATGTTTCATGCAACTCCTAATCTCCTATTGCACCAAGTTTTGCAGGAAAGCAATGTAGAACTAGATGCCATAAGAATCATAATCTCCTATTGCACCAACTTTTCCCAAGGACACATACTTTGACATATGGAAATGGGAAGTCTGTTGCTCATATCAAACTTTTGAAAATTGATTTCAAGACTTGAGGATTTAGTCTTTAGATATATTTTTAGATGATTGTAATAACTAATGATTGTAACCCGCCAACCCAACCCAACCCGCCCTAACCCGCAAAGGGTTGAGTTGAGTTGGTTTATATTTTTGAATGGATTGGGTTGGGTTGAGATTTTCCATGATTATTTTATTTTAGAGATGTAAAGTGTAATTTTAGTTAAACCACAGGAACCAACCAGTAATTCACTCCATACAATTTAAATCAACAATATTGCTTATTTAAAACAACTTATGTTTTTTTTATAAAAATGCTTATTAACTTACGTGGTATCAAATTGAAGTTAAATAAAATAGAGTTAAAATTGTAAATTAATAATAAGCAGTTTTTTATAAGTCAAGAATAATTAACTTATCAAAAATAACTTATTACCGGTTTAATACCAATATAAATAATTTTTTTCCTTATCCAATCAACAGAAAATAACTTATCATTAATGTGAGGGGCTGTTTGGCAGTTGCTGAATGATTTAGTGCAGAATAGTTAAGAGGTCAGAATGGTTAAGAGGGTCAAAATGGTTAAGTACTGAATGAAATAATGTTGTTTGGTAACTGTTATCTGAATGACAATAAATTACCATTTTAACCCTCATCAAACAAAAACCCATTAATCCAAACCAACAGATATGCTTTTCCTTTAACTTCAAGTGATGGGTTCGATTTCAAACAACCAGGTATGCTTTTCCTTTAACTTCCCACTCCATCGAAGGGTCTTGACACGAACAGGGATGGTAGAGTTTGATTTAGGTTTTTGGGTTGGGTTTGATTCGCATACTATTAACTTACTGAGGTCGCCGGCGATGGAGACGATGGAGGTCGCCGACGATGGAGACGATGGAGGTCACCGGCGAAAACCGGCCGACGTGGGGAAGGGGACGAAGGCGACGGGTTCAAGAGATCCAGAGATGGTGAAGACGATGACGGTCAAAACAGAGAGATCGTAGATAGGGGCTGTTTGTCGGCCGGTTGTCGTCGGTGACGGAAAATGGCAACGAACAAGGGAGTGGAGACGGCAGTGGGTAGAGAGAGTACGAGGCGGCAGCGATCGTAGGTCTGGAGGAGGGGCTGTGAGCGATGTGTGAGGATGATGGAAGAGAGGGCAAATATGGAAAAAGAGAAGTCTTAATGGTTGAGAGACCCCTCAGATGCAAAATGGTTAAGAGGGAAAATGTAACCATTCAGAGCCTTATTTTTTTTGCCAAACACTCCTCACCTCTTAGCGATTAAGAGGTTGGCTCTTAATGTCACCATTAAGAGCCAAACAAACAGCCCCGAGACTAAATAAAAAACAACTTTAACAGCCCAAAGTATTTTTACTATTTTGCTGTTAATCTTTTTGGAACAGAAGATGGATGTGGGTATTTGCGTTTTGAAGTTAACAGTCCAATCCAGTCTTGTTGTACTGGATGATTCAGCGTCTCTCACCCAGAAAAATCCTTGATTGATTTCAGTACACTTCCTTCTTCTGCATCTACTCAAGTGATCCATAATCTGATACGCATCTGACTGACTGACTTCAGCTTAGGTTTCTTGGGGGGTTCGTTTCTCCTCCGCCCTAGTTCCTTCCCTTGGGCGGAGCTGACCGGTTCTCTACTACTTTCCTCCTCAATATGATTGATCAGTTCATCAATTTTGTCATTCGACCACCCAGGTACGGACGAATACGTATTCATTTCCTCAATGCTTACTTTATTCCTCATCTTTTCTGGAAACATTTTATGTGTTCGCTTATTTATACTTCACTGGCATGTATGTGTATCCATGACATTGCAGATCTGTTCTTGGGCGTTTCTTTTATTGTCTTCCCATCCAAGTTATATGCTCATGTACGAGTAAATTTTCATCGAAAATGGGTTTCCACTTCTGTTTAGTACTAGTTCCAAGGGAAAAGAAGGTCATCATCAGTCTGTTGATTGAATTGATCTTGTCATGCTTATTTTATTCTCCGTTTATGGTGTAATGTGTTAGACTCTTTCTTCTTATAAATCTTTGTTACCCAGTCTATTAATGACCTACTCATTGTAGTTCTTTACTAGTTTGGTATCTACTTATAACTTGCAGCATTCAGAATATTGGTCTCAGTACAAATGTTTGTCCACTACAGTCATCTTTACAAGCTGGAATTGCCCCATCGACCTTAGACTTCCACTCCAAATGTTTGTCATTCCTTTGCTTGCTAATCATCCACATGCAAATTGCTATATGTGTGGTATATAATTGCCATTACTACATTTCTCGAGCATACATGGATGGTCTATGGATTATCCCTATGTTCTTCCCCTTGTCCAACCTGCAGAATCATGAGGCCCTTCGCTCAATTGGGCACACTTCTAAGTCTAAATTGATCCATCTCATGATTATGTTATGCCAATGCAAGAAAACACAAGGGTTATTCCTAGCATAATAGAAAGTGGAAAAGTAGTGGGACAGGTGGCAAAAGATCAACATACCCAAGGTATAAGAAGGAGCAATAGAGAAACGGTTCCTAACAAGAAATATGCTGTTGGATGGACTATATAAGGAGGCTAGTCTGGAGAGAGATGCATATCATGAAATATGATCTCAGCTCCTTCCTGATTTCCTTCTTCTTCCCCTCTGATTATTCTCTCTGTTAATTTACCTTTATGCTTAATTTTCCTAGAAGGATAAAAATATCCAGAACCTTTCATCTTTGATGACTGAAAAACCCTTGTTCTAATTTGTTTACCATGGAATGCAAACCTTTTAGCCATTTTAGTCATTTCTTGTGTACTGGAAAATTGTAGTTACAGCTTGGGAGGTTGTACCCTTAGATTTGGTGCTTTCATTCTTTTCACCATGGCAGAAGGTACTCGCCTAAAAGAAGTCTCAGCAGGTCTAAAGAAAATCATGGAGCTGATGGAAGGACGTCATCCTGAATATCTTCAACACCGTGCAACCGATGCTGCCCGTTTGGATCTCCTCGAAAACCATGTTGGTGCATTGCAACTGGAAAACCCTGAAAAACCTACTCTAGTTCAACTCTTTCAGGTAAGAAATGTCAAACTCGATTTTCCCCGTTTCGATGGCTCTGAGGTAATGCACTGGATCTTTAAGGCTGAGCAGTTTTTTGAGTATTATTCCACTCCTGATGCTCACTGTCTCACAGTTGCTGCTGTTCATATGGAGAAAGACGTAGTTCCTTGGTTCCAAATGATGAACGAGAATTCCCCTTTTAAATCCTGGGTTGTTTTTTTTCATGCCCAAGAAATGGAATTTGGACCATCGCCTTATGATTCACCTCAGGCCAATCTGTTTAAGCTTACCCAGACTACTTCGGTAAATGATTATTATGTTGAGTTTACTTATCTGGCCAACAGGATCGAGGGTCTCAGTACTGAGGCGATTTTGGATTGCTTTATACAAATGACATACATAGAGATGTATTGGCCCGAGACTCAATTTCATTATCTAAGGCAGTCTCTTTGGCGAAGTTATTTGAGGAGAAATATACCCTTAACTCTGGTAATAAACATTACCTTCCTTCTTCTTTCTCAAAAACCAGTTCAATGCCTTCTCCAAATCACCCTAAACCAAACCTTACTCAATCACACATTAAACCTACACTACCCCCATTATTGCCTACCCCAAACCAGAAACCTCTTGCACTAACCAATCGCCCCAACAACGTTAAACGCTTCTCCCCAGTTGAGATCCAACTTCGTAGGGAAAAGGGAATATGTTATACTTGTGATGATAAGTTTTCCATTCATCACAAGTGTCGTAATAGGCAATTTTTTCTATTGATTGGTGATGATGAGGACTCTCCTCCTTCTCCACTTGTTTCAAGCCTTAGCAATGACAGTCTAGTCCCTACTGATTCTCCACCACTAGAGCACCACCTCTCATTCAATGCTCTGAAAGGATCACATAGTATGGGAACACTTCGATTCCAAGGCTCCATTCAAGTGGTGACCCTTCAAATACTTTTAGAAGTGGTAGCTCTGATAATTTTTTACAACCAAGAGTGGCCCAATGTTAGAAGTTACCAATCCAACCATCACCGACCTTTAAAGTTCTAGTGGGAAATGGAAGCAGTCTCACCGCTGAAGGCTTTATTGAAGACTTACAAGTTCAGGTGTAGGGCCACACTATCCACCACTTTATCTATTACCTATTACAGGGGCAAATCTCGTATTAGGAGCATCTTGGTTAGCCACACTGGGTCCACACATTGTTGATTTTAGCGCCTTATCACTCAAATTTTATCTGTGAAACAAATTTATTGCCCTGCTCAGTAACAAATTGATGCTTCCACAACCTGCTCAATTCCATCATATCCGTCGTATGAACCAAACCCATGCCATTGCTGAATCTTATGCTTTGGAATTTCACGCTTTGTCCGGTTCACGATTGGAGTCAATTGCGAACCTATCAGACTTGCCACCGGAACTCTAGTCCTTACTTAAGGAGTTTGAGGATGTTTTTGCCACTCCTACTGGTTTACCCCCTTCTCGTACACACGATCATTCAATACCCTTGGTGGAAGGCAGTAACCCGATTAAGGTTCGACCATATCGGTACCCCCATGGTCAAAAGAATCAGATCAAGTCAATGGTTCATGAGATGTTATCAGACGGAATTATACAACCAAGCACCAACACTTTTTCTTCCGCTTCGTAAAAAAGATGGGTCGTGGCGCTTTTGTATGGATTACAAGGCCTTAAACGCTATTATTGTCAAAGATAGCTTTCCAATTCCTACCGTCGATGAACCGTTGGACGAATTATTTGGTGCCGTCTATTTTTCCAAATTGGATCTTCGATCCGGTTATCATCAAATTTTGGTTAGACCAGATGATCGACATAAGACAACCTTTCAGACTCATCAAGGATTATATGAATGGTTGGTTATGCCCTTCGGGCTTACAAACGCTCCAGCGACCTTTCAAAGTTTAATGAACCATGTTTTCCGACAACATCTTCGAAATTCGGTATTAGTTTTCTTTGATGACATTTTAGTTTATAGCCCTTCATGGACCACTCATTTGGCTCATCTAACAACGGTTTTGAAATTGTTGAGAGAGCATTGTTTGTTTGCCAAATTATCCAAATGCAGTTTCGGGCTAACCCAGGTGGAGTATCTGGTCACTTAGTATCCGGCAACGGAGTTCAGATGGATAAGCCAAAGATTAAGGCGATTTTGGATTGGCCTTTTCCAACATCAATTAAACAGTTGAGGGGATTTCTTGGTCTCATGGGATATTATTGCAGATTCATTAAGGGATATGCTGCGATTGCCTTTCCTTTAACTTGTCTTTAAAGAAAGATAGTTTTCTCTAGAACGAGCAAGCTGCAACTGCATTTCGTGCTCTTCAGCATGCTATCACTCAAGCTCCAGTCTTACAATTACCAGATTTTTCTTCACCATTTATCTTAGAAACTGATGCATCTGGGACTGGTATAGGGGCAGTTCTTAGTCAAGGAAAGCAACCCATTGCCTTCTTTTCTAAGAAACTGAATGCCAGAATGCAAAAACAGTCTGCATATGTGCGGAAGTTGTATGCAATCTCGGAAGCCATTTCCGGATTTCGACATTATCTTTTTGGGCATAAATTTATTATTCGAACTGATCAGAAAAGCTTACGCTCCCTCACTGATCAAACCATTCAAATACCAGAACAACAAACTGGGCTTCACAAATTCATGGGTTACAACTTCTCCATTGAGTATAAGCTGGGTAAAGAGAATGTTACTGCAGATGCCCTGTCACAGTCATTTTTTATGGCTATTTCTACCCCAACTTCCATGCTGTTCAACTTATCAATGAGGCTATTTCACAAGACCCTGCTCTAACCAAGCTCAAAGCAGAATGTTTTGCAGGGGATACAAGAGAACAAAAATTTCCAGATGAAGAAAAATATGCTTTTTTGGTGAAACATATTGGTCGTACCCAGGCTGCCTGACTTGATTCACAACCTTCTCTTGGAATTTCATTCTTCCCTACTTGGTGGTCATTCGGGAATCAAACGAACAAAGGCTAGAATTGCTAGCCAATTTTTTTGGCATGGAATGTCTAAGGATATTGCTAAATTCATCAAAGAGTGCTTAATTTTGCCATCAAACCAAACATGACCACTCTAGACTGGCTGGGTTGCTTCAACCTTTACTTGTTCTGGTTCAAGTTTGGGAAGATATCGCAATGGACTTCATCACAGGCCTTCCTCCCTCCCATGGCTACATCGTCATTTTGGTAGTGATTGATCGTTTATCTAAATATGGCCATTTTGCTCCATTGCAGTCTGATTTTTCCGGTTTAAAAGTCGCTGAGTCCTTTCTCGCCAACATTGTGAAACTCCATGGTTTTCCAAAACCATTGTATCTGACAGGAACAAAGTCTTCACTAGCAAATTTTGTCCGCACCTTTTTAAACTCAGTGGTACAACTTTGCCTATGAGCTCCTCTTATCACCCGTAATCAGACAGTCAATCGGCAGGGACGTTCCATTCTTTTTGGAGGCCCTGCTATATTCAAAACTTTTGATTACATTGCACAAATGAAATGACAGAGAATATATGCTAAGAACAAAAATGGGCTAAGCAAAAAACGATTAACAATCTGAACTAAACCTAAACCATTAATAATTTGAACCTAAAACCAAACAATTAATGGTTTGAACCTAAATAATTTCGGCTATAGTATTACACAGGTCGATAAAAAGACCCTAAACACATGTAAATTTGGGCCCCAAAATTTCGAAGGCCCTGTTCAAAATCTCACATTTAACATGCTAAAGGACGGCCCTGTCAATCGGAGGCATTGAATAAGTGTCTGGAACAATATCTTCGATGTTTTACTAGTAATCAACCAAAATTGTGGTCCATATTGCTTTCGTGGGTAGAGTATTGGTATAATACCTCCTTTCATAGTAGTTTGGGTATGACTCCTTTCAAAGTGGTTTATGGCCGTGAACCTCCTCCGCTCCTCAAATATGATCTCTCTGACTTGGACCTACTAGCGCTGCAAGACATGTTGCAAGAACGGGACGTCGTGCTTGCCCATCTTAAGTCCAATCTTCTCAAAGCCCAAGAAAGCATGAAGAAGTATGCAAACACAAAACGAAGACAAGTGGAATTTAACATTGGTGACCTGGTCCTGGTTAAATTGCAGCCCTATCGTCAGAATTCTGTTGCTTTGCGTCAAAATCAGAAGGGAATGTGATACTTTGGCCCCTTTCCAATTCTCGAGCGAATTGGACTAGTTGCTTACAGACTCCAGCTGCCACCTACTGCTAAAATCCATCCTGTATTTCATGTTTCGCTTTTGAAGATATGTACATGATCACACCAAGAGCCATAGCTCTCATTTCCTTTGACCACCATCGACCAAGGGCCCTTACTGTTACCCAAAGCAATCCTTCAAAGTCGTTTTCTGCTCCATAAGGGTCAACAAGTTCTTCAAGTGCTTGTTCATTGGGAAGGCTTACCACAAGAAGAGGCATCTTGGGAGGACTGGACTCCATTGCAGGCATCATTTCCATCCCTTAACCTTGAGGACAAGGTTCCTTTTTATGGGGGAAGTAATGTTATGCCAATGCAAGAAAATACAAGGGTCATTCCTAGCATAATAGAAAGTGAAAAAGTAGTGGGACAGGTGGCAAAAGATCAACATACCCAGGGAACAAGAAGGAGCAATAGAGAAACGGTTCCTAGCAAGAATTGTGCTGTTGGATGGACTAGATAAGGAGGCTAGTCTGGAGAGATACGCATGGAATGAAATATGCTCTCAGCTCCTTCCTGATTTCCTTCTTCTTCCTCTCTGATTATTCTCTCTGTTGATTTACCTTTATGCTTAATTTTCCTAGAAGGATAAAAATATCCAAAACCTTTCATCTTTGATAACTGAAAAACCCTTGTTCTAATTTGTTTACCGTGGAATGCAAACCTTTTAGCCATTTTAGCCATTTCTTGTGTACTGGAATATTGTAGTTACAGCTTGGAAGGTTGTACCCTTACAGATTATGGAGGAAGCTTATGGCCTATTTGATAAAAATGAATAAAAGCCGAATGAATAAGAGGTTTGAGTGATTTAGTGGTATATAGCTTTGAGCAAGCCAACTTCAAATCCATTGTCAGGTAATGGGGTTTCTGTATATTATCAACATTAATAAAATCAAACTGATGAAACCTAGCTGCCATTGGAGCTGCAATACACTACATCTATTATTTACATTGTATCATCCGCTTCTCTCATCTCTAGTTTTTCGTCTAGTCTGCTTTCTCTTCCTGCTAACAATCGAAAAGATATGTCTGAATGTTGATATAGGACGATTATCTTCACGCAAATTTCATAATCATAACGAGCGTGAGGCATTTTTGGAAACTTTTCATTGGAAGCTCGTCAAATTCATCTAAAAAATTGAATGAGACTTGAAGATGAACCTTGGTTCCATCAACTTCCCACCTCCACCACCAATACCAATAGTTATGACTAACCTACCATTGAAACTGAGACAAGAACGATGACTTCAAAGTTGAAATTGAGAAGTTACTGATGGAAATGAAGCCAGTGATGAGAGTTTGATTGAACGATGAGAAGACTAACAGTGATGAAGTGGCTAACCTTTGCTTGCAGTTACCACCTAATGGAAATAAGTGGCTAGAGGCTGAAAACGACTACTTGAACCAAAACAAATTTGCCTGAAACTCGCCAGAAAACCTTAGCAAAACCCATCAAAAACTTGGTCAAAGGATGGAAAGCGTAGGAAATCTGAAAAGAGCAAGAAGGAAAAAGATGGGTCTAGGTCCTCTGTGCCACTGGCCGAAGTTGGCATCAGGCGATAATTAGTGGAGAAGATGAAATGATTCTAGAGAGAGAAAAGGAGGCTTTTAGATTGTTGCTCTGATACCATTTAATGTAAAAATGTTTTGCTCAAATTACACATGGTACAACTAGCCACTTTGGGGTTATCATCCATATAGAAATTGCTGAGAGAGGTTTGTCAAATCACTTACACTACCTTATTTATGTATTTTCCCTCGACCACCATTTGGACGACTACCATACTCTTAAAATCGTAAGCAGGCAAAGAAACAAAAGGGAGAAATGGAGAAATCGTATCGATTACAGAGGAGAGGAGGCGATATGGAAGAAGACGATGGAAGGAGGCGATATGGAAGAAGACGATATGGAAGAGGACGGTGACGAAGGAGGCTCCATAATTGTGTTGGATAATTAGGTTTTCTATTGGAAGAAAAGGGTAACATAGTCATTTTATATTTAGTCCCAAAAGGTGGAACAAAAATAATCAAGTTTTGTCCCATGAAATTTAAAAATAGTCCCATCTTGTCCTATGTATTTTTTGTCCATGGCATGCCAAACATAGGACTATTTTTTTTTGTTCTGTCCCATCCCATGTAGTCTGCATGCCAAACACACCCTAACAGACTACCAGTAGATTGGTTTCAGAATTACTTAATTACCTCGTTACTCTCTTTTGACATTTTGACCCTGTTTAACCTGTTTGCATGTACCTTGTAGTTATTTACATTAAAGAAGAATTCAATATTCTCCCTTCTCATTCTAGAATACCTTTTTAAAGACAACATTTTAACAGAAAGTTGGCTTCCAGATTTGATAATAACCAAAGCAAAGCAAAGCAAAGCAAACCAAACCAAGGAAATGTAGCCCCACTTCCAATGTTTACTGCTACACTGGCATAATTTATGGTGATTGCAAGTCTAAGGCAATATATGGTGTTTCGTATTTTGTTAACTGTTATTTGAATTTTATGTTGGTCCAACTAGGTAGACGTTATTACAATTCTGATTTTATAGAAAAATTATAAACTAGAACAGGAAAGTCTAAAATTTAAGTTGTTGTGAAGGGCACTAGATTTTACCAGTTTTCTTCTCTTTCTTCTAGTTTAGTAGTGAGATAACTTTAATTATAGTCACCAACGATGAATATTGTAGATTTCATTAAATTAGTAATTCTTGCGAAGCATATCCTCCCTCATACCCTTAGTTGCAAGCCCAAGGCATCTTACTTTTTATTTCTGTTATAAAGCTTAAAGCCTTAATTACCTTTCATAATCGTTACTGTTTTGCGTTAGTTTTCATCCATATTTAGACATGTACCATGCTTATCAACAAGTATAACAATTAGCAAGAACCTACTATCAAAGGTCGTGGTTGTGGTTGTAGAAGACCAAAACATACATGGGATCATTCAAAAGGATAACTATGAAATTGCTTTAATTATGACTTAATGAGGATCAAAGTTCATGCAGCTGAGTCAAAACATTTGGTACAAAAGCTGAGTTTACGTTGTATGAGGAGTAGGCTATATCACATATGGAAGTGGGGGATCTTTTTACCCTCTAGTGCATATACTGCATGTTCACACGCAGCCTCTTCTTTAATGGAGGTATCAATGGGGCCATTTATTATGTCAGTATTTATAATCCTTGCCATGATCTATTTTTCTTACTGTTTCAATGCTTTCTTATATTGGGTGCACATAAACTGCCTTGTGATTTTTCTGAGCCATCTCTGACACAGGGCCGAATATAATCCTGAACAATATTTATGGGAAAAAGACTTCACTCTTGCTGGAAGGAAATTCAGAAGACAAGACCTGGAGGCAAGTATGGACATGCACATCCACAACTTGCATATATTCTTTTGTGCTCTTTTATAATGCACCTTGATTGGGAATGGACATAAGTTCTGTAAGCTTTCTAAGTCAACTATTTGTACTTTGCAGCTCAGGAACGGTAGAGGGCATACCTTGAGGTGTAGCCATTACATGCCTTCATCCTTCCCAGATGACACATCTCTTCCTTGTGTTATATATTGCCACGGAAACAGGTTTTTCTTTGTCAATCCAGAATATGTTCATAAATGGAAAGGATATTTGGCTTTCAGGCTGCATTTTAAGCAACTAAAAGGCAATTATTGTTTTATGCTAGCCATTTTCAATATAATTTGCCTAAAAAGAGCATAAAAAACCTACTATTCTTGATAAACTCTGGAAACTAATATTCAATCCGTTCTCGTCATCTCTAGCAACATTAATTACAGTCAGTTCGAATTTGCCAATTATAGCCTCTTTGAGTGTTCTAAGGTCTCTTGAGGGTAATAGCAGAGACGTTGAAGGCACTTCTCTCACATGTTAAAGCATGCATTGTGTTTTCAAGGATATCATGTTGTTTCTTTCTCCATTGTTAGACTTGAATAAAGGGGTTAGATTCTGTTAAAGTATCCATTGTTGATGAGTCACTGGTATCAATGGGAGAAATCTGTACAAAGACCTGACAGTTCTTGAATACACTGATCAAGCGAATTTAGGGGTTGAGAAGAAATAGAGGCAGGCTTCCAGGAAAGTAACATAGACACAAATAATATATTGCCGAAGAGATGGGTCAAGTAGCAATATGCTTTCTTTGAGAGAGAATACCCAAAAAAAGAACCTTTTTGCCTGGGAATCAAGTTTCATAGTATTAAGCATTTAATCATGTACATAACATACAAAATTGAAGAGGTTTTTTGAACTTGCAGGAAATTACAGAGTATTTGGAAAGAGAATCTAAAAGAGTATTTATCCTTGTCATACTTTGAACGGCATACAATTAATTAATTAGTAGGATGTAAAATGATATCCCCAAAGTTTATGTGAAACACCCGGAAGTATCAATAGAGAGCAAGCTAAAGAACAAAGTGATCCCTGGTTGGAGTTCCCTTAGGAGCTCAAGAAAGCAATGGCCCAGCAATGGTGGATATCCTGAAATGCTGTCTCAAAAAGGTATGCCAAGGAAGGTGGAGCATCCAACTAATTGAGGCCAAGACACTCATGGCCCATCACAATTATCCGTCATGGGTTCTGAAAGACACAATGATAAGGAAAGAAGATGACAAAACAGTTAAATTTTTTGGTGATTTTTGTATGTGGGAAGATTCACGTTAATAGTGCCTCCTACTTAGAACCATTGTGTATTTTGACTGGAGGATGAGAAGAGGGAATTAGCTTGATATTATCATATGATCTCACATACAAGATTATGTAATCCAGGATGAACAGGATGCACCAGGTAAGATGGTTACTTGACCGTGTAAGAGAGGCACAAGGAGCTAGATCCAATTAATTAGAAGCATCCACAGATTTGAGCCTGTCATTCTTTTGGGCCGGTCTGGAAGATGAACTTATGTTTAGTGCCTGGATCTGGAGAATTATCTGTTAATGAGAGACGTGAAGAGTTATTTATTATTTTTTATGTTGAGGTCCTGTTGAATATTTGACGTGGAGGTCGTATGGTAGAACCCAAACCACTAGCTTCCCCCAAAAAAATTATCGTCTCTCATACTGACCATAATGTTCCAAAGGTGACAGATTTCGAAAAGGATAACCATTAATCAAGAGCAATAGCAGTAACATCTCATGCTTGACCAATAACCTCAGCAACAATAATAATATCAGAGCAAGAGTTTATAGCATCAAAAAGACTGAAGTGCTTCATCGATCACCAAGAAACAACTTTGCAACAGATGAACGTACCAATGACATTGACTGGTCAACCAGATACATCAGGCTGAGAAAATCAGGCAGTCATGACCAGAAACATTAGAAATGCCCATAGACGCTGTGACTGTTGTCAGAAACACGAGAAGAATATCACAACCTAAAACACTATCAAAGATGCCATATAAACTGTAACCAGGAGCATAAGAAAAATGTCAGGTGTGTCAGCTCTGGGCTAGGAATGCGCTGGCTAGGGTTTTTCCTTGCAACAGCTATGTCAGCTAGGTTGCAAAAGCCAAGAGAGTGGAAATCCGGCAGGTTGGACCAATGATAGAGAAAGGAAAAAATGAAAGAAGGCGACATAGAGTTTAGGGAAGAGGTAAGCTGATGGAATTGTGAATAAAAGGAAATACAAAATGATCCAGGGAGAATCCCTCTCTCAATGCAACATGCAAAGAGCCAATACAACTGAAAATACTAATGACATGCATAATACGTATCCCCTCCTTCCCTTTTAAAAGAGACTAATAACCAACTTTCTAGCCACTTCCCACAATTGCTCTTTTAGCCCTTCTAGAATAGGCTTTCCACTCTCTTGGCTTATTCTTATTAGACTTGATGATTTCTGGGTTCGTATCACATTACATGACTGTTGAAGGTGTGACCACAGGGTTTGTCAGCAGGAGTTGTGTTGTGCAAATGCAAGGGATGCAACCGAGTTGGTTGGCTAGGGTTTATTTGTGATTTAGGAATGAAATTTCAATAATTTTTGGGCTTAAGACTGAAATCCTAGTTGTGACATAGTAACCAGAGGGTTCACAACTTCCTGATGGTGATGGGTGGTGACTGTCTCGATTTAGGGTTTTTGTGATGGTGGCGGCTGGCAACATTATGACGGAGTTTGGGGTTCGTAATGATAACATGTGAAAAATTAGGTATCTTGGAAAGTGTGCTCTATTAAATGAGAAATGATACCGATATGTAGACTCCATTTGTTGGCTATGGGCTGAGACATGCAAACCAAGTGACACCGAATATATTAGAACCATAATGACGTAATTAGTGCTGTCTAACTACATATATGCTACAACTTGAGGGGTCTTAGCGTAGCTGATATATATGTATCTATGTTTGGTATTATACATCTAGGGCTTCCTCATGGGGTTTATTGCAGCTCATTTGGTGTATCATGTATATCTTTTTTGGCCTTTTGCTCAATAATTCAATCATGTCTGATACCATCTTTGTATGCCTTTGGTGCACATGGTGTTTGCCTCCTTAAAGCCTTCTGTGATAAGTTTATAGGTCTCTAAAATGCTTTCCATTGAATGAATAAAAAACTTACATGTTACCTGTGGTACCTGTGTAGTGGAAGTAGGGCAGATGCAAATGAGGCTGCTGCAATTCTTCTACCATCAAACATTACTGTATTCACTCTTGATTTTTCGGGTTCAGGGTTATCTGATGGCAATTATGTCAGCCTTGGTTGGCATGAGGTTCACCTACCTTTCTTCTAATTATTTCCTGTAGTTGTAATGTTCTTTAATGTTTGATATCTTGTTTTCATATACACTTCAGAGTAATGACCTAAAGGTTGTAGTGTCGTATCTGAGAAGCAATGAACAAATATCTCGCATTGGTCTATGGGGACGCTCTATGGGTGCAGTTACCAGGTATTTATTTTATATGTACTAATATATGTTAAACTGAGATTTAAAACTTAATAACATTGGTCTGGAATGTCAACCAGTAGAATCTCCCAGGTCTGGTTCCAACTAACTTCACCCTATGTTGTTGAAAATATTTATTGTAAATTTGTAATCTTTGCATGCCTCATGAAATTCGGAAACTTTCATTCAAAGGACTTGATCTCTCTGAAATCATGCAGCTTACTCTATGGCGCAGAAGATCCTTCTATAGCTGGAATGGTGTTGGATAGTGCTTTCTCTAACTTATTTAATCTAATGATGGAACTGGTGGATGTGTACAAAATTCGGCTTCCTAAGTTTACGGTAATGCTTTTTTTGTGGTTATTGTATTCATATAATAAATACTGTATTCAGAAATACCAACCCCCTTAGGGTGTTAACTTTCCATAACCCCCCCAATATATGTATAATGCTATTTTATGTATTTTTTTACATTAGCAGAGTCCGATCTATGTTACATTATCATAATTCTTCAACATTAAATAGAAGTTTCTGTAGAAATAAATTTTTGAAGAAGACATTTACCGAACAAAAGTATTTAAGAAAATATTGGACATTCTATTGTGCGTGGGTAAAAAAACATGCTTTTTTGGGGGGGTCCCCTCCATGATATTTCGCTGAAAGGAATGCTGCAAATTTTGCAAGTTCTACACGAGCTTGTGAGTAAAGTGTTTTTAGCTATTTTGTTCATTTATACTGTAATACTTCCCTTGTCAGTCCAGCTTTTATATCAAGTTGAAAATGATGAAATTCATTAAGGCAAGGTCTTCTTACACTCTTCATCATATTTATTCATAAATGTACCCTAAGAGTCCCTCAAGCTGGAAAAACAAGGGTATAAACTTGTATAAAGTGTGTTCTATCGCTCTAACATTGATTGAAATAGACACCTTTCATTTGCGACCAGCACTTTGGAGGACCTCTGAATATGCATTCATATCACATTTCCATACATACTCATTATTATCCTGGTTAAAAGTTAAAACATGTTACTAAGTATCATGTACTTGGAACGCAGATTACGCATGAATAGCAAGATTAGCAAAATATAGGGCATCCCTAGAATCCTAAAGTAGATATTAAGATCTAAGCTAATAAACTAAATAGTTTGGCCATAATCGAGGGAATCCTTTTTGGTATTTGCCAACTGTATCAATGTGTCCTGCATGCCATATACCTCAAAATAGTCTTTTATTGCAAAAGGGTCATTATCGAAAAAACAAGTGTCACTTTGCCTGAAAATGGATGAGTTATATAGGATAATCAATTATTGCAAAAAGGCCAACCCTTTCTTCCTCTTCGTGACCTCATTTGACATAATGAAAACTCATCTGACCTGTTATGGTCCTTGTGATCCTCATTACAATTATTTTGATGGGGAGCACGTCAGAACCTCAGCCTTGTAGACTATAACACCACCACTTGGTTGTCATCTTACGACCTTGAGCTGACCCTCGTGGGATCCTTGCCCCCTTGTTTTAAGCTCTCTGTTAAGTAAAGATTATTTTCTGCCCGAGGACTTTTCTCCACTTTGCTGATCCTTTGGAAGCCTTCTTGGTTTTAATAGAACTTACTACAAGCATTTTTTTTATGTATCATTGATAAATAATTGATTTAAAATGATAAACATAAAAGGAAACAACTCAAAAGATGAAGCAACCTACCAGCTCAGAGAGCTTGATGACTTGGCTGTGGATATGCATTTGTAGAGACTATAAGGATCTCTATGTTATAAAGTTTGAAAATTTAAGGATATTGTTTGCATATCGATGTGGTGTTCTGTTTTATGAAAGTTAATGGTCACATCTATCATTTTGTAGACATCAACAGAGCGGGTTTCTTTACTTTCTGCAAGTTCCTAATCTATCATTTCAGTGATCTTTTTATCTCGTCATAGTTTCTAATCTTTCTTTTATCATGCCTGAACCAAAAACGTTCCATATCACTACTTGATGGATTAAGGTCATGACACACATAATTGCACTCCATGTTCTCATGTTTTTATTTGTGTCCCGTTGCCTTTTCGAATACCATGAATCCTACTTTTGCAGTGTAACTCAATCAGAAAAGCTCTTTGTGTCCACCATTTTCCATCTCATATGCGATCCAGTCTTAATACTAGTTTAGCATGAGGTAAGTTACTATGTTCTTCCTTTTCCAAAAAAGTTACAGTGTTCTTTACCACATCTGCATCATATTGGAATAAAGATGCATTGTTTCATTTCAACCTTTCCAACGACCCTCACATAAATTCTCAAAAGATCATTGGTCCTATTGGAGGTGTCAGATCACTAACATTGCTTTTTATGTACCTTTATCCTATGTTTTACATGTTCCAACTCCAAAAGAAACTTATATGTATCTGTTAACTGATTTTCAATGCTCTTTAGTGGTCTTTAGGATGGAGGGACAAGCCAGTTGACTACATGAACCATTGCTTTACTAGCATGCGTGATAATATATTTGTTGTTATTTGGTTGCACATTATTTTTGGATACTCCCGTTCATTTGTTTTGTAATACATGAAATTTTTCTAGTTTCATTAGTCCTCAGGTATAAACGCCACAATATTACCATGTTCTTCTTCCTATTCCACATGAGGTAGTTTGAGCTGTCCTCATTGTGCCTGTTAGATACTCTTCTTTCCCTTTTCTGCATAGAAAAATCATTAGAATGTGATCACTGATTGAAGTTGCAACATCTGAGTTTCTGTCTTGTAACTCCAATGTTCGCACTTTCTGAAAGGGTGGGTGAAAATAGACGTGTTGACTGGCTAGGGTTTGTGGGAGAGGTGCCAGTCTTTGAATCACCACTCACTATCTAGCTTCACTACAATTATCAGAGGTGGAGAATGGATCAGAATTGCTGTGATATCATGAAGAAATTTATTAATTTGAGAGGCGAAATTTGTAATTCTCTCTTTTCCCCAACATGTGTTGATGATGGCTTTAAGTTAAAATACGAGTAGAAGACATAAACATACTTCTATATGTATGGTTAGTACATGTTATTCATAAACATGCGAGCACTGATTGGTTTGTAGAGCATCACTACTACTATGCTATAAGCAGTCTTTATTACAATTCTGAAGGCTCCTGAGAAACTTTTGAAATTCTTTCCATTTATTCAGGTGAAGGTCGCTCTGCAATACATGCGTCGAATGATTCAAAAGAAGGCAAAATTCGATATCATGGACATTAATGCCTTGAAGGTCTGTCTGAGTAATTGTTATCAAAGTATGATTCGAATGATTCTTGTTTGAAGGGTTGAGGAGGATAATTTATATTATTCAAACTTTGACCATGTTAATTTTAAAATCCCTTAACCCTACCCCCTTCTGCCCCAACACACACACAAACACACATAGAAGAAAAATGAAAAATTAGCTCTAAAATAGCGTTATCATTTCAATTTTTTGACACCACAGGTTGCACCAAAAACATTTATTCCTGCTTTATTTGGACATGCCAAAGGTGACAAGTTTATACAACCCCACCACTCAGACCTCATCTCTAATTCCTATGCGGTATAAAACATCCCCCCTAACACTTTCTGGTTCAGTTACAGGTAATAAGTTTGGAAATAGTTAAACAAAATTGATTATCTACAGGGTGATAAAAATATGATAAAGTTTGAGGGCGATCACAACTCATCTAGGCCACAGTTTTATTATGACTCGGTATCCATATTCTTTCACAACGTTCTTCACCCTCCGACAGTATCACCAGCTTGTTCAGGCAAATATGAAAAATATTACGATCTGGGAGATCTTCAGGTTGATGCTGGTATAGAAGAGGTAATTTTAGTTTCACCTACTGTATTATTGTATTGGAGTTTCCTTCTCAAATTAGAGTCTTCGGAATTATAGTATGCCCAAGGAAGGATAAATCTGAATTTTGTCTGTGAATGGTACTGAGCATGAGGCTGGAAGATTGGAATGTGGATAACTTTTTTTGATTGTGCATCCTGTTTGTATTTCTTTAATGTTTTTCTTCAGTTTGTGTGCCTTCCCTTTCCATTCTTCTCTCTGTGTGTGTTTTCTGGGAGGAGAATAGGGTGGACAAGTTTGTTGTTGCTCCCTGAGTTGTTACATGTGCAACCAAGTTATCAAATGAGCACCATCGTCATACTAATTGAAAGGCATATAATGTTCATCTAATTGTTGGCTTAACTACTGATTACTCGAATAATTACTATGTCATTGCACTTCTGATATTAAAGTAATCCGTTAAACTCAATTAGATGAGATAACGTCCAATTAGGTATAGTCTTGGCTATCATGAATTTTTTTCTGTTGATATTATGAACATCTCATGTTTTGCTGTCAGAGTCTATTCTATGAGATGATAGCCGGCCAACCTTTGGGTATAGATGCAGCAAGCACTTCATCCGCCCCACCTAGCATTTTAACCACAGACTCAGTTGGGGATTTTCTTCCTCGAATTATACAAGTTAGAGTAATTCAATGAATCTCACCTTTTAATTATATCTACCTTTCATGTTACTAAAGACTTCCTAATAATTCTTTTTCCGATGGGTGCAGAACTCCCTGGTGAATGATGTAAATTCAGATAATGCCCACGAACGATCGCAATTGCAGGTGATTGTGGATATACCTATTGGTGTTCTTTTTTCAGTGATCAAACTCTCTTCAATGTGCGTTTTACATGAAGAGCATGTTTGTCATTCTTTGTAGTTTTCTTCAGAATGCACTAATTAATGATAATCTATATCATAATTTAATAAAGAACCGTATTGTTCTCATTTGTATATTATTGTAATGCACCCACTTGAATATATATATATATATATATATATATAGAGAGAGAGAGAGAGAGAGAGAGAGAGAGAGTTTCAGATACAAACTATGAATTGTTACAAACCCTACAAACCTAATCTCAACCATTGATTATGTTCATTCTGAAATTTAGAGTCGGTTATCAAATGTGATTGAGTAAATTTAGGAACCGGTTTAATCTACACCGTTGATTATCTATATGTATGATTGAGATCGGTATGTAAAGTTTTTAACAGTTACATGGTTTGTATATGAAACTTCTTCTCTCTCTCTCTCTCTATCTACATGTTAGGGATTAGCTTATACTAATATTAAGATTACCTTATCCTAATCTTAAATTACATACATCAGAACAAGAATCTTTTTCTAACTTAACATATTTTATTACCATTTTACTAATTAGATATTGTAAGTTGTGTTAAACTTGATTTCTCTATACTAATCTTCTCAGGACAAGCCTAGTGGTCAAACCGAAGAGTGTTGTTCTTATACAAGCTCAACTAGAGAGAGCTGGGGAAGATGTTCCTCTTTGGGCAGTGATGGTGAACCTTTTCCAGATTGCACCACATCGAACAACAATGATCTGGTCTCTCTTTCTCTCCCTCATACATACACAAGTACCTTTGCTTGAATATAAGGATCAATGCACTGGCCTTGGATATGGACTTGATCTATTGACCAATAACCGTGCTAGTGATTCATGGTGTAAGCTTAAATTTGGTTTTATAGAGATAGTGTCCCTTTCCCCTGTAAGCTCAAATTCATTAGTAGTAGTTAGTTCACAACCAGTGACTAGTTCCAAGCTAGTTGTCCATTGTCAATGCTTTCCTGTTAAACTGGTTTGCATCACAGCTGTAACTAAAGTAGTCGCCTCTTTAACTGTGAAAGAGATTTGATCTCATAAGTTAGCAATGTGGTTTAATAATTTTTCGAAATCCCAGGTGTTAGGAATAGGGCTAATTACCTCATTATATAATTATGATATATTTGATGTGTCCATCTAGGGTTTTTAGTGTTGGCTCATGGCCCATGAAGGTCATCTATATATTACTACCGTTTATCAAATAATAGGACATATCTCGTCGATGACGAGGGACTGATTGGACATGAAGGAATAGAGTTCATCGATTTTTGTGTTTTGTTGCATACATGCAAATGTCTTGATCTATGAAAAGATTACGAGTATCCTTACTAGTTTAGATTTTCCTGCTCCATAGGAGATTTTCCTAGAATATCTCTAAGGGAAGTTCCCTTATTCAACAAGTTACCTTTTTGTTATTGCTGTAAATAGTTGTCAATAGCTGCTCTTTAGGTTATTGCAAATCCTATATATTCTGCTGTACTCTTACCAATTATTCTCAAGGAAGGAATTCATATTTTTCTTGAAAGTTACAGAATGGATATATTTATATACAAGAGATGGGAGAAATGTCTCCAGGTTGATCCCTAAAATCTCTCTAATTGATTTGTTATACAATTTCTATAGTTATGTGATTTGGTTCCATACTTCCATAAACTCGCCCTCAAGCCAGAGCATAGATATTGATCATGCCAAACTTTTTATAACATGGGAACCATTTACTAGTGCTTACATTTGAATAAATCCTGTTGTAATGAATCTTTCTTCAATATTATCACGAACAAAGTGTCGATCGATCTTGATATGACATTATGTTTAGTTTGTTCATGAAAGAGGGCATTTGAAGCGTTATGAAGTGAATAGTTCTTTGATTACACATCAAAGCTTTATTGGAACTGTGAGCGCATAGTCAATCTCTTAGCAGTCGATGTACCCATACTATCTCACATATTGAGGGGGTGTTTGTTTGTAGCTTAATCGGCTGAATGTATATCTTTAACCCACTAGGTTTTTTTGCGTTAGCTTTTAGTCAAGTTGGTCAAATGAGTACCACGACCTCAATCATGGTGGGCAACTTGAGGTAGTACTAAAGTTACAGCTGGCAAGTAGCTGTAAGTTGTCATCCATCAGTTGAGGAACCTTCCCTGTAGTAAGCATGTACATATGAGTTGATGCACCTCCAACAGTAGTAAGTAAATAAAAGCCCACCTTTTTCAAGGTGGCTCAATTGATGTCATTAAAAAGGTTTAAGTGATACGGAGTAATACCAGTGTGTAATATTTATGTAACGCGTAAAAAATATTAATTGTAATTGTGTGTTTGTTTGAGATACTAATGATGCGTGCGTTGAATTTCAGGTAACATTGAAGGTGCTTGCAACACCTCTTCGAACCACTCAACATGCAGCTGCAGATGTGGAGAGGGAAAAGAAGAAAGGTGCAAAGAAATCTGGACGTGACAAGTTCGAAAAACTAGAGGCCCTTAGTCAGCGTCTGCGCCTTTGTATTCTGAAACGTGTCAAGCATAGGAGGAATCATTCATCCTGATGAACTTTGTAAAATATATGTAACCACAATACGAGATTGATTATTATGTAGGTCATGGGTTTGGTTTTCCAATTTGCTTGTCTTCTTTAACATCCCCCTTAACATGTAAGAGAACCAGAAGTGAAATATGAAGAGCAATTTTGCATTACCATTTATTGCTCAATTAACTAGACTAGAGTTTTAAAGCATCGGCTTCATCTAGGTTTAATTTGATGCACAAATTAAATCCATACACTTCCTTACTCTTCTTTTTGATGTAGTACATTACCAGAAATGCCACAGGAACAAAATATGGGAATTGAGAATGTCTTCAATGTTGTTTCATTTGTCTCAGATTTCTCAAAACTAATTACGACTTTTTCTGATCACAACTGACAAACCTTTTGACATGATGAAGTACATATATTTCTAGGAGCTGCACATACACGCTTAGTTGGTACTGACAGATGTTGATTGCAGTACGCCTTAAAATGACTAATCACTATTCGCTACCTGAAGCATTGTTGCCATTAATCTTCATTGTCAATTGACATCCCAGATGAACTACCAAACTGTTCTGATTGTTGCTGGTATGGCGGCCTAAAGCTTGACTCCAGTATCTGGTGAGTTAGGCTCAATGCTGGTTTGGAGCATGTTGTATCCATGCTCACTCGTCGTTTCTTCATTGACCTCTCACCTCTTGGACTCTCAATTGGCGACCCCAAGTGACACCCCGAGTCTGGTGTTAATGGTTCATGTCTAGAGGAGAATGATTCGTCTACAGAAATGCTCTTGCCTGAGGCCCGTTCCTTCTCAGGCTTGTCCAGGAGAGGTGACTCAAAAGTAGGACCTGGGGCCGCAGAGTCGGTTTTATTATCAGATTCTGGGCCAGGCACTTCTGAAAGCACCCCACCAAGTCTCTGTTGCTCTTCAATTATCTTCTTCAGGTACTTCCCTTGGGCTTCTATCCTTAGCTGAAGTTGTCTTTGCACCTGCAAAAGATTATGCACAAGAAGACCTTTAAAATGTTGAATTAAGAGAGCATCATGAGTCTCGAACATCAACAGCCCGAGTGCTCTAGTGATAACAGAAATCAGGTAGTTTCAGTAATCATTAGAGACCTCATATAACCCCTCTTATTGTCCCCGTAACCTTGCCCTTTATGAGAGTCTAATACACTTGTTTGAAATAAAACCAAAAGTACAAAGCAGGCCCCTGTAAGAGTAAAGGTCACACGTACAACCCAAATTAAAAGGCAGTTTAAAAAATGAAACTGCTTAGTTAATTACCATATTTTGAAAATTACTATGGTTTCATAGGTACTTGTCCAAAATCCAAGATACCAAGAAATGGTTCCAATATGGCAGTTGGCCAACATTGAGAAATCAGCACTAGGAAGTCGTATAACCTAAAAACACTTGGCATTAATATTCACTGGACTGTTATGAACACAGTCCCTGTTGTATATGGCAACTGTAACAAAGTGGCATTACTGTATATACGATTATTTAATTTTCAGGTTTACCATCTTGGCCTACATTAAATACCTTTTTTTCTTTCTGAACCATAAAGTTCTCTCTTTCTCCCTTTATTCTAAGCGGTGGGAAAAAAAAACCAGTAAAATAACCCAAACATGATCACCACCTCTACCGCCAACATTTCATCACAGTTGTCATCAGCAACCATTATCTGATCGTAGTGAACATGGATACCGATATACCACAGTTGCTTGAACTCAATGTTGTCTGTTATTGATGGTTTGATATTTGTTGATTGTGTAAGCTACTCTTTTGCATAACCTATTTGGTCTTTAACAATTTTTTGGCCCTCTTGGTGGTTTGGCTTTAGATCTTTGGTTGCTTTTGTTGATTTTTCTAGAGTTGTTTGCTTTTATTTCATACGATCTCATGTTGAGATCTTATTAGCTTTTCTGCCCGAGTTAAAATAACATTTAATAATCCTATTGAAACCTTTCACGTTAAAGATGTATAATATTCCTCTAGTTATTTTACCAAACTTATGAAGGGTAATGGAATGTGAGGTGTCATATTGTGCCTTCACATTCAAGGGACTGGTATTTGCTGAATGCAAAAACTGACATGTACATTGTTTTTCTTAGGAATTTGATCCTTGTGTCCTTGGTGTCATTGTGTGAGGTTAATCCTACTCCAGCTACGATCCCAATATTATGATGCACTTAAGTTTCCACTTCAAGCATACATCCTGAAGAACAAAAATAGAGACATTGCTCCTGCCCTCAACCGTTCTGACTCTAGAGAAACCTCAAAGTTCCCCTACCACTAAACCGGACAATTCCTACCACTCAGCATAACAACCACGAGACTTGAGGTGCCATATCTACAGAGCATTTCTGTTTTATTGCTCAAAATGTTTCTTGTGCTCATTTATTCCCCCATCATTTTTCCTTCATCTCTGTTGTCGGAAGTTACTGTTTTCCTATAAGGTGGCTGTTGCAGCATCATGAAGAAGTGCTCATAAGAAAAACCTGACCTGGGACCTTGTTGAACGTAAGACGAATGTACATCTTAATCCATAAAACTAAATACCAATGACACCTCATCTTCGATCCTATGCCTTGATATCAAGGGACATTTTGCTGGGAATGATGGTGGTTGTGGACTTGTGGTTGAAGGGATATACCACAAAAATAAGTTAGAAAAAGATAGGCAAGCCAAACTTTTGCTATTATACTAATATTTTAACACCCAAAGCTTTAAGTAATATGACATTACAAGCTCCCTTGCTTAAACCTGAGTCATATCCAAATCATATAAAACCATGGAAGAAAATTATTAATAGCCCATTATCAAAGGCTTAAAAAGGGCTGATAATTCATAATTTTAACACAACATTACAAAATCCCTCAATTAAATTCCTAAAGCCTTATTAGGGCTGAATACAGACAAAAAACCATAATGTCACATGGCAAGGTGAATGACAATCCAATATCAAACCTATAGTTTAATACCATTTATAGGCGAGAAACAATAGAACTAATCACATAACCTCCAAACAACTAAGCCATGATGGAAACTTATTGATAACCAACAACCACCAAGAGCTTATAAGGGGCTTGCAATTCACAATCATAACTGATTTAGAACATAATATTACAAGGATGTTCTGCATAAGAAATCTTATTTCAAACAATAATATGATTATTAATTAGAGAGTGAGAAACCAGGTAAAAGAAACATATATCGTAGGAGTATAACACTGATTGATTATAGAATGTTCAAAGAAATATAACCTCCAATTGCTCATGCAGTCGCTTTTGCACCTCCATCTGCAGTTTTAGTGCTTCTGTGATTTGCATTCCACTGCAGAAAGAAAATAGCAAGTCCATTTTAAGAAAACTAAAAGTTGAATTAACAAACGCATCGCTCGTCGTTTTTGTCACAGCTAAGCCATGCAAGCTTGGTAGTTAAGACAAGTTTCCCATCACCCCCAAATGCTCTCAAACATAGATTACTTCATATCACTACATCAGATTGCATGTTCATGCTATGTATGGCTAGAATGCATGAGACCTTCAGTGGCTAGAACTAAAACAACTGGAGAAGAAAGAGACTTACGAAGAGCCATCCAAACTGGAAATCATATCACTTGATTCCTTCTGGTTGAATGTTTTTCCTTGCATTATTTGAGCAAAATAATCAGGCACTAACAGTCATCAACTCAAGAAAGTAATACTACAGGTACACAGACAAAGGCAAAAACAACAATGACATGTGTAAGTGAAGAAAGATTAATGGATTATGTACCTTCAGAAGAGGAGTCCGGGAGATACTTTGCAAGCCGATATTTCTGTAAAATAGCAGGAATATAGAGCTCAACAAAGAAACAGTTTGTCCAAGGATAAAAGATCAGCACAATACATATATAACATTTCTGTTACCTGCAAATGACTCTTTACATGATAAATTGTTAGACCTTGAACACCCATAACTCTAAGGACACCTTTTGGAGTAGCCCCTGAAAAAGGAAACCAAACTCTCACAACATAGAAATGGCATTAATAATGCTCTCAAGAAGATAACCTTTGGTTTTTTCCCACAAATGAGATTAAATATCACTTCAAATTTGTTAGAAGCACTATAGACATTAGCGCAAATTGTTCCTTAGGTGATAATGGTAAGAAAGTGTCCTTTTTTCTTGTTCATGTAAGTAGTGGTTTTAAGGAGTATTTGTATGTACACAGTTTCAAGTCAAAGTGTCCAGAGTTTGTACCATGTGTCATACTTCTACATGGTTTTAGACCCTAGGATTTCAAGCTACTGGCAACATTTAACTTATCTTTATACATACACAGGCCTTTTGGAGTGCCCATTGACTTCTGTCTCTGTAGTTCTGTACACAATCAATTTAGTTATGGGTATATACTATTTTGATCCCCATTTAATTGATTGATTTTCTTATTCATCTTGAAATCACAATATATTTTTACAGCTTGTCTGAAATCAGTCTTAAGAAAGCAAGGTTGCTCCTGGAGTTGCTAGCCAGTCCACATGAAACATCTTATGGACTCTTTCCAGGTGTGAGATCTCATCAGGCTTTCTTCACTCACAACCTTAAAGAAAATGCTTGCTAGAGGTGGTTGTGTCATTGACATAACAAAAATCATTTATAATATCTCTTTCTATATCTCACCGGCATATGAGAAGTTTCATAATCATCAAATGATAATCCAGTGGTCTGTGTTTCAACCTGACTGCATTCAGGTTCAGATCTGCATGGTTGCAGAGAGCTGACACTTCTGTGTGGTTACTTCTTAACAAAATTGTCTCTAGGACATGAAAAAGACGCCTTTAAGAAACCAACCTTTATCCACAAACAATACAGCTACAGCAGGAGCAATGATGCTAGCTCTTTATTTCTCCTTGCAAAAAATCTGAAATGGTTGGAAGTTTCTTCTAATTGGATTCATATTCAGTCTAGTCCCTATTATTTAGCTGGAATATTTATAAATGCATATTAATAGTACATACATAGGCTTCCATACTAGAGCACCAATATTGCAGTTTTACAGCTCTATATTTTAGCCATGTGCGAACATTAAAGTGAACCACTTCTACAATATCATTTGACTAGTCCTTGCAGACAATTTAGTTGTAGTGTAGAGGTACAAACTATTCCTGTTAACTGAGCGGTACATTAGTGCTCCTTACAAAAGCATATAACAGTTTCCAGTTTATTACTCTGTGGGCAGAATAATATCAGTGAATCCTTTTCATTAGAGCATTAGAGCGCTACATTAGTGCTCCTTACAGAAGCATATAACAGGTTCCAGTTTATTACTTTGTGAGCAAAATGATATCAATACTTAATAATCCTTTCAATACTCTTTCTGGACATCTCTGCCATTAAATCTTAGGTGGGCCTCTCAATATGTGAACATTTTGACAAATAGTAGTGTTTAAACTTCAATTCAAATTTCTACAGTTCAAATTGTTCTTGGATGCTAAATTGAGAACAGCAGAACCACCAACAGCAAATAGACTTTTAACTCAAATTAATTGGGATGGGCTAAACATGAAAAACCATTGTCAATATCAAAGAGGTGAATGAATCCTAGAAAGACTTGGGAACTAAAACGAGAATATCATCCCTCCTTTCTCCCCTATTCAAGGTTAATACTGGCGGTTTGTCCCACTGGGTAAAATCTCAATTCACAAATTACAATCTTGTCCTAAAGCGCTAGTGCCTCTAAAGGTCTATGAAGGATAGAACGAAACATCCTAAGAGTTTTTTTTATCTTCTTAACAGTCAAAGCTTAGAATACCTTGACATGATACCAAAATGTGGAAAAGTTCTTTTATGCAAATTATCACAAACATCTTTGATGCATCCAGTTTATTGACAATGACATAGGTTATAGACAAACAGTAACCATTTTTACAGTAAAAAAAGACTACAAGAAGTTAGAAAGAAAAAGCTAAAAAAATTCACTGTACAGTGCTGACAAAGAAGGGCAAGACCCCAAAGGAACATCAAAGTAACTCACTATCTGGGCCACCCAGTTGTGCCACAGCATCAACAAATCGTTCATGGAGCTCATGAGTCCAACGAAGTCGTTGTTTAGAGGCCAGACTAGGGCTGTTGTTGATACCATTAGCTCCATTGACCAGGTCCATGACGATGGCACAAGTTGATGGATAGTCAAGGCATATTGTGTTGTTGAGAAGTAGACTTGAGCTTGAAGCACCCTACATTTAATGCAAAATCACTGATCTAATTCCATAAAATTTCCAATTTAATCAACATGTATTTCTGCCAACGAGGGGATCACACTGCAAATGAAAAACAACGGAAGCTAGTAATTTAAAATAAGAGTCTACTGAAGGAAGAGAAAATCTTGCCCACTCTCTTCTGAAAATTTCACAGGAAACAGATTATATAAAGCAAAGCGATGAACTCATTGCATAACTAGATGATCTGGTACGAGACTCTCTCCATGAAGAGGTTAGCAAACAATTAGACAAAGATCAACAAGTAACACCTTTAAGTATCAAGTTCAAGCCACCTCTAAAAGCCTTTAATAACTACGGTTTGTTAAAGGTATAAGTTCAACCTCAGAGTACCTGGCAAAACATTGACAGAATCGTTTTTAAAATATGATTCCTAAATGAAGTTGTTGCTCTTGATCTAAGACAGATAATAGATAAAACAACAATAAACGACAGATCATTTTTAGTCTAGGCCGATGTGGTTGAAATTGCTGTAAGGAAAGTATAATTGATGATTAAATTTCAAATTTCTATCTCTTTGTTGGTGATTTTAGTGAAATCAGCGGTCTATTTTGTGTCACTGGATTCATAAGAGAATATGGGGTTGTTAGTTGAGCTATAACACGGGCTAGAAGATGTGAAGTGCAAACTCATGTAAGGTAACTAGAACCTGGAATGGCTGGATGGTGCCATATGGCGGGGGTCAAGGGCCAGCGCCCCGAGAGCTCTATGGAATTTATGAAGAGAAGTGGGGTCACCGAGGGAGGGGNGGGAGAGATGTATGCAGACCTAACCTCTACCATTAAGAGAAGAGCGGTTGTTTCCCTGACAACCGCTGGCTCTTTCCTTCCACTTACAATATGTTTACTAATTATTATTATCTTATTGCCTGATTTTTGGCTTTTGGCTTTTTGTATAACTTAGGTGGCCCACTGAAACCTTTTGGGTCTAGGATCATGCCTATTTCCCACCTATTATACGAAAATAATAAAAATAGAAACTGAAAATCCTATAAATATGCCGACCTCCTTGGCTTTCCTCTACCCCACCAAACATCTGCAAAAAGACCACAGAGCCATATATTGCCATATAATTAAAGCAGGAAGTGCACCTAATATATCCTGAGTCATCATATGAATGGATCCCAAATCTCATAACTTAATAAATTAAGACCAGGTCTAGAAACTACTTGGGTTAGCATATCCAAAATCACAACAGAACTGCCTAGAGCACATGGCCTGCTCCCATACTCCTATAATAATGAAGTAAAAAGTGAGCACCTAAAGATGCTGAATATATGGTTCTTAGTTAGAGTATTACAATGCACAGCATAAGCAATTATTCTGTCTAATTTCAGGTTCCGGAGCATACTACTTATAATTGCTGCGGCAAGCACAAACAGAGTCAACAGATGGCTATAGTTTTAAATCAGTAAACTTGAGAAATGGAACTAGAATGGTACTTAAAAGACAAAATTGTGGACCATAAACAATTTCACAAATAATTTGTAATAAATGCTGACATGTGAATCAGTAGATTTGCATGAAGTAGTAAAGGAAGAAGAGATATTGCACAAATACTAGGAGAGCGAACAGAGGGGACCAACACAAAGGTTAGGGTTCTATATTTACAGTTTATCATTTGTTCTTCAATATTTATTATCCTTTGAAAGTTCAATCTTTATTTCAAGAACATAATATAATAAAAAATTAAAAATATTTGCTTTTTAACATGGGTACAACAAATACTAAGATAAAAGTATATGTTATTTACTTTAACTCGGTAATGTAAAAGAATTCGTATTAACATAGTAATTATGCTTTAAGCCACTCAATAATATTGGAAACTGAATAACAACAAATAAATACTTAACTGTTGGGAATAAAATATAAAATCAATAGAAACTAAACATTACAATTGAAAAAAAAAAACTTAAATGTTGGGAATAAAATATAAAATCAATTTTTTTTTGACAGAAATAAGAAATGATAGCATACGAATATGAGGTTATGAGTAAGGGTTGAAGATTAGTTTCAGAAAAGATTAGTGCGATTGAGATTAGTTGAAGGAGGAGAGGTTGTTTCAGCAAATTGAATTTGTATACAAAGATAGATTCAGACACAGAGTTAGGGTTGAACTAGTATTCGAGTGGAATTGCAGGAATATGCTGATTAAAGATAAAGCTGTAAAATTAAAGAAGAAGCGAAATGGAAAATGTAAGATAGCCGACCTCAGATTTCAACAGTCGATTTGAAGCAGGAGGAAATGAGGCGAAGGAGATGAATCGGAATCGGAATCGGAATCGGAATGAGGTCGGGTGGTTGTTGAGTCGAGTAGATCAGGCCTCCTTCCTGAAACAAAGTCCACGCACCAAAACCTCCACCTTCATATCAATTTCTATTTTTCTAATAAAAACAAAACCATCTTATATATATTTTATTAACTTTTTCTTTTTATTTTAACTATAATAAATACTTTACTCCCAAAATTTATGTTAAAATAATTTCTTTTTCTTCAAATAATTGGTGCGATGGAGACAAACGACTTAGACTTTTTTTATGAATTATTAATATATTTTAAAACTAAACATGAATAATAGAAAAGGGCAAAATTGGATGTATTTACCGGAGATTTGCTTGGAAATTTTATGATTAGGGAGTTGAATGAAAATAGTTTTTATTTATAGCAAACTAAATAAATAATAAAAAAAATTGTTAATTAACTTAACTTGAAGTTTAACATCCTAATAAATATACATATATGTTTGGAAAGTGCTTTTACATAATGATGAAAATTGAAAGAAAAAAACAACCAACCGATGTTATCTGATTGTTGACTTACCATTCACGGACGGATCGATTTATGAACAAAATCTTTGAACCTTCTTCATCCTTCATATATTAAACTGGTCCATATTACAACTTGCTTTCATTTCTGGCAGAAGTTTATCCCTTAGCATCTCATTAATATCATTGAAATCAGTATTAGCCCCATCCCCAGCATAAAATACATGATTGCTTCCCTTAACATATACCTCACTAAACCCTGGTATTTTACTGATCGCTTTCCCCTTCATCTGCCTCCTTACTTGCGCAGCTTCCTCCCATTTTCCACATGCTGCAAATACATTTGCCAATACTACATACCCTCCTGATTCACTTGGTTCAAGATCTATTACTTTCTGTCCTATTTCTTTTGCAACTACATCATCCCCATGCAATTTGCAAGCACCAAGTAGTGCTCCTAAAACAGCAGCATCACGCTTATCAGGAGGCATTTCGCAAACCAGTTTCAAAGCCTTGTCTACTTGCCCAGCTCGACCTAGGACGTCAACAAGGCAGGCATAGTGCTCAGCTCTTGGTTCCAACTTATAAGCATGCATCATTGAATTGAAGAACCTCCATCCTTTGCTCACAAGACCAGTATGACTACAGGCCGTCAAGACTGCCACAAAAGTAATTTCATCTGGCTTAATTCCTAGTCGCAGCATCCTTGCAAAGTTTTCTATAGCATGAGCACCAAAGCCATGACTGGAATATGCTAACATCATTGCTGTCCAGGAGACTATATCCTTTGTCTCTAAAGTATCGAAAGCAAGTTGGGCGTATCCAAGATCCCCACATCTGGCATACATAGTGATAAGAGCATTTGTAAGTGATATGTCAGCTCCAAATCCAAGCCGTACTGCAAGTGTATGAATTTGTGATAGCCCCAGGCAGTCCTCACATGAGATCAACACAGAGGTGATAGTACACTCATTTGGTCTAAAACAACACTGAAGCAGTAGGATTAGATGTTTGAAGGCCTCGCCCTTGGGACCTCTTAGTCCTTTGGCATAACCACCAATGACTGCATTCCAACTTACGATATCTCTTTGAGGCATTGTATGGAAAAGCTCACTGGCTTCAGCCATTAGACCTTCACCAGCATAGGCAGTTATCATTGCATTCCATGCAGCTATATCTTTTTTTGGCATCTGATTGAAGTACTGCCTGGCAAGTTCGATTGAGGCATTTTGCACCAATCCTGTGACCATAGTAGTCCAAGAAACAGCATTTCTTCTAGGCATAGAATCAAATAACCCAATAGCTTCTTCAGTTCTGTTGTCCTTAAAACAACCTTGAATCATTATGTTCCATGAGTATATGTTACGCTGTGGCATTGCAATGAAGACTTTAAGTGCTTCATCAGTTTGGCAATTATCGATGTATGCCTTGATCATGGCAGTCCACAGAACAACATTTTTATTGGGAGTCTGATCAAAAATAGCCCGTGCTTGATCAATCAAACCGTTATGAGCATAGCCTAGGACTACAGCAGTCCAAGAAACTACGTTCTTACCAGGCATTTGATTGAAGAGCTTCTGCCCCTCACGGACGTGTCCATTCCTAAAATACCCAGAAATTAAACTGGTCCATGAGTAGACGTTCCTGTGGGGCATTTGATAAAAGATTCTGCAAGCCTCGTCCATGCGGCCAGCTTTGGCGTAAGTATTAATCATTGCAGAATCAGCGACTATATTCCTCTCCGGCATTGCACGGAAGAGACCTTCAGCTTTGAAGAGATTATTGTTCTTTATGTAGACAGTGATCATAGAAACGTAGGAAACAACGTCTCGGTGAGGCATTTCATCAAACAGTTTCCGCGCTTCATGGACTCTCCCGACGCGACCTAGATTAGTTAATCTGATATTGTAGATTTTGGTTGAAGGTGAAGAAAATGGAGGGTTGAATTTGTAGGAGGGATGTTGGTGGGTGCAAAAGTTGCGTTGTCTGTGACGAGAAACGACGAGCAGAAAGCCGGATAAAGAGCTCGTCCACCTCCACCTCCACCTCCACCTCCACCTCATGAATTTGTTCATATTCATTTTACTACCAAGTTATTGACGGTGTGGGTGTGGGGGAAATGAAATTAATTCGAAGTGGTAGTTCCCGTTTGCAGGGCTCTTTGTTCATTGCCACTTGCTAATTAGTAAAAATCAACTTTAAAATGGATGATATATTATTTATAATATCTTTTGCAAAAATAGTACTAGGCAGATGGTAAAACTAAAACATATATAGCTCATGTGCTTGAATTGAAACCCACCCCATCATATTAATTACTTCAACTGAATATGTTTTTGGAAGCATAGCATAGCATGCTAGTAGTATACATTCATTTTTAAGCGAATAGAATCTTGCATATATGGTGTACTCTTGCAGGCCTTCTCATATTACGCAAACAACCAACTCTCTGGTAACAATTAATCGTACATGGAGGTTTCTACCTCTCTCTCCCTTTATTATTATTATGACCATCATGTGATCTACTTCTTTGTATCCCTGTCTTCCTAGGATCCATGGTTTCCCTTTCTTTCTTGAACCCCATTTCCACAACCTTCTTCCTCCTTGACTTATGCTTTGATTCTTGTTCCAGCGTTTGCCTTGTGGTGTCAGGAGTCTTACTTCTACCACCACTCGACTCTTCACCTGAACCCAATACTAATTTATTTTTCAGCTCATCTTTTGCTTTACTTGATTGAGTTTCTGATTGTATGTTGCGAGTTTTCAATTGTTCAAAGTCATGGCCAACGGTTGTCTTGCTGCCACTTCTCTCTTGATCAAAGAAGAGGACTTGCACAACCATTCTCAATGGAAGCTTTTCATTTTTCACAGCATGAGCACAAACCCCTGGGGACAATTTTTGACAGTCTATAATACTGCACAATTGCTTCTTCTCTTCCTTGCTCGTTCCAGGATGTTCCTGTTCATCATCATCATCCTCATCAACAATTACCAAGGAAAGGAAAACACGTTTTAAAAAAGAAAAGAAAAAAAAAAGATGTTTATATTGTTCTTCCTTCCGGTCCTTACCTTTAGATAGATGTTGATTGCTTTGTAAAGATTGTCATGTTGAGGACGAGCAAATTCAGGTAAAGTTTTTGCAAGAGACACTAGTTTCTGTACTGGCATATTTGCATCCCTTGCAACCATTTTAAGGTAAGAGTCGGTGAGTTCCCCCACCTTTCTAATCAAGTCTTCACTAGAATTTGGTTGTCTTCTCCATCGCATGATAAAACTCTCCACAACAGCCTTAACCAAGGCAATATCATGGATGTGATCTTTATCATCACAAGAGTCGGATGAAAGTAACAACAAATCATTTGGTGTCGCATCCTCCAATTGCAAGCTACATCGCTTAATAAGTTGTGTCTTGATCACTGGGGATGCCCCTAAAAGATTGGCTAAGCTAAGGAGTCTCAACAGGAATCCAACTGAAACAGATCCTTTATCTTCTGGGATCATGCTAATGATGGTCTCCAGTTGTCCTTTTTTGTTTACAGATTCTTGTTTGCTCATTTGAGAAGCTGTAGAGGTTTCAGGGTTGGGCCTTCCGCTTGTCAAATCTGGTAGCCAAATACATGAGTAAACATGCAAAGCTTCACCAATAAGTTGTGGAGGCAACATGTTAGTTAACTTCACAGTATTAATTATGCATCTGAATAGATCTATATCAAGGTTTGCTATATCCTCTGTCCACCAATCCTTAGGGGCAGACTGGTGGTGCTTCTTTTGTGCATATCCTTCTCTGGTGTAAGTGTAGGACCATCTAACCTGCAAAGCCTCTTCTTTTAGTGCAGAGTTCAAACATTCAATAAAAAATTCAGTTCTATTTCAACTTCTGCAATCTTTGATAAAGATAAAGAAGAGTGACAATCCATTCAGAAGCGAGTCTTATTGCTCCTGTATCTGTCTTATATGTTTTAATGGAGGCAGATGAAGCTGAATGTTTGTGATTACCTTGGTGGGGGGTGTGAGCACTTTCTCGACAATAGAATCAATGCATCTTCTGATAATCCCAAGGTTTTCAGACCATTCGGGAAGCATTACAGTTGTCTGCAGTGTGACAATTGAATCCTTCCACCCCTCAAGGATGCATGAATTAAAGAAAGCCTCTAGCTTTGAGACAAAGTTTCCCTTCTCAACAGAGTCGGTCATTTGCAGGAACTTAGCAGCACATATTGCTGGTACAAAGTTATGGGCACTGAGATCAATTGTGATCCCATAGCAAAACTTAGCACACAGCTCAAAAGCACCTTCACCGCCAGGGATATCATGAAGCTCTAGCGCAAATCTGCTGCAATCCCCCCTATCAGAGCAAAGTCTCTGTAAGAGGCCGCACTTTGGAACAAGCGGAAACTGCAACTAGGGATACAACAATTTTCCATGTAATTTCGGCCAAAAGAGTACTAAACTAGTAATGTATTTAAAGATCATACCCTATGGAGAAGATAGGTGATGTTGTTGACACATATGGTTAGGTCACTTGGTAAGTCTGAAAGTATCGTCCTGCATTTTGTTAAACATCAACTACTTGCAGCATATTAACAATAACAATAATGTGTTCTCATATAGAAATGGAGTTGCGAACCTGATGGCTTCTTCTGTATAAAAGTTGTCTGGCCTTGTCCCAAGTCGCATAAACTTCATCTTAATTTGGTCTTTATATTTCTGTGTATTTATAAAGATCCGGAAATCAACACCTACTTTAGTTTCTTCCACTTTCTGTAGTCTATAAAGCAATAAACTGCATGGCAAAAGTGAAAATTACACCCTATTTGACTGCAACATAAGCATTCACTACCTTGTTCCTTAGGTTGAGGAGGTTGCTATTACTTGGATGGCGAAGAACATGAATGCAAGTCAGAAACCTAGAGGAAAATTTACAGCTAAAATTAAGAAAGAATGATAGAATTGGTAAGAAAATCGAGAAATGAGAGAGGGAGAGAGTTTGTGTCTGAGAGACATTACCAAAGATTGTCTGCAAACAACTTGGAGCCATTCCGGAATGGTTAAAATGACAGCTGATGTAAAGAACCTTGGGGAAACATCTAATGGCACAGTATCAAGCAAACTTTTACATAACAATAGCACAAGCAACATTTCCATAAACATGAAAAAGTGTAGGTTAATTAACAGCTTGAATATAAGCTTGATCGCAAATTTATTCCTTTCTGATGCATATATAGCAGAAAGTAACTTGACTATACAACTTTTCATATCTGTAAGGATCTCCATGAAGGTTCAACTGGGTTTTTTTTTCTTCCCATATGTCATTATGTTGGCATGAATATAGTTTTTTTATATCTTGTGTCCTTAATTAGCAGGATATACATACCCTAAAGTAGGGTATGTAGTGATAAATAGTATAACAAGTCGATATCACAACATTCATGACTCCATCAAATATCCTAATTGAGAGAAACTGGAATATGAAGATGAAAACATGGAATGAATGAATGATGTCACCTGGAAAAAGGAAAATTAAGGCTATTGGTTGGTTGCAATCAAGCAGCAAACTTTATGGTCCAAAAGGCTGCAAATTAGGCATCCACATCCACAGAAGCTAGCTCCAAGAAAGAACAATAGTGCAGGTATAGTGTATATATATAAACTGCTTCACCTTTTTAGATGAGTAGCTAGTTAGCTAGGCAAAAAAATGGAAGTTGAATCAGTATCTCACCTGATGTAGCTGCTGATAAAAAGGAATCGAACTGAATGGGTTTAGTCAACGGAATTAATAATGTATGAATAAGAAAAGCAATTAGAAGGGCAAGGTGACAGAAAGTGGGGAAAAGAGAGAAAGAAAGATATTTCGTGTGTATCCTCATCATGATTTCCCCCACTAGCTAGCTAGCTTTCGTATATTCCTTTGATTGACATAAATATATATATATATATATTTGTATATCTAATCCAGCTGTCTTGTGTTCACACCATTGGATGCATATTAATTTCACACCAACAGAAAAGATGGTGAAGATGGGAGTGGTCGGTTGGAAGATTTATTTTTTGGAGAGCAGACCAGACCAGACATGCCCAACATTTCCACATCACTGTCACTTGCATGCTATGCTCTACCATTCATTTTAATTCTCTATGTATACTCTATTATATATTTTCATCCATCTTTTCACTCTACATTCTGAATTAAGGGTAATTAATTGTAATTGTACAAGTAAAGCCAATATTAAGTAATTAGTATTCCCTTTTGATCTTCTTTCTACCATTAAATTAAAATAATATATATGTATAGTTGGTCGATGGGGAAAAAGAGTACAAGTTTTCATGAGGTGGCATGCAAGGAAGATATGATGATGATGGTAATTAATCATGAGCATCATATATATATATATATATATATATATACCTTTGCATGCAGTATGATTACAGCCTGCGTAGCTAGCTAAAAACAGTTGTTCCCTTTGGTCATCATTTGACGTACGTAGTTGCATGCAAATTATATTTCAAATATTTGCATCCAACCCCAACATCCATCTGCTCAGATTGCATCAGATCAAAGTCTGTTTCCTTTTCAAAAGCATATATAATATAGAGTATGTAGCTGCTTCACCTCGATCCTGAATATCTCTTGTCCAAAAATGGCTGCAGCCGTCCCATTTCGTATACCAAATTACGTACAATATTGAAGTAAATTAACATTTTTACAGAAGGGGAATAGCAACAGTATATACAGTATGAATTGGATGGGTCTTCTTTTTAATTAACTAGAATCTTTTAACATGCCTGCCTTGTTTCACTTTGTTTGTTGTGATGTGAACGTGACTGCTTCACATACACACACACACACATATATATATATATATGTATGTATGTATACATTAGCTAGTTCAAGGTTATGATAATAGAATTTCCATCACTTCAAGACATGTATTGACAACGTCGACAAAGGCTTCCACCAATGGGAAGATAACTGGAAGTGTGCTGATACGTAAGAGATAGAAGTTGTTCTAATTATTTTTCTTTTATCATTAGTTACAGGTTTAGTTTGTCAAATACATATTAATAAAACCTAGAGAAAATTTAACAAAAATCCAACACACACACACACACACGTACGAGAAGTCGCCATGCGTGGAGAAAACAACTTGGTCATCCGACAAAGAATATCGTCATGTGCATTAGATGCAAATGTTACGGTACATAATTATGAAATAAACAGATTTTGCATTCTTGTCATATTAATAAACAAATGTATAGCTAGTTCTAATTGGCAAACAGTATTCTATGCAAACTTGCGGTTGGGCATAGCATCGATTGCATATGCCAATTATCAAACCATTACCCAGTTTGTGAACAATGTTTCCACAGATGGTTTCCTTCCATCTACAATAATTTCCGCCAACCCCTTGTAGTATATTTAGTAATCAGCACATCCCAAAAGTTCCTACCATTTAGGCGATACAAATGTATTCAATGTACCTACGAGTGATCATTAGAGCATAGGATGTTCCAAACCTTCAATCAAGCTCCAAAATTTACAAGTCGGTGTCCACATTTTCTGGGCTACAATAATATTTCACCGACTTTTGGGCTACTGAGCTTACAGGATTCAAGTCCACCACTGGGTAAACTTGAACCAAATAAAACTATGTTTTACAAAGAAATTGATATGAGTCATTCAACAATGATTATAAGAGTCCAAGTAGGATGACAAGGCATACAACTAACAAGATATGAAACCACACACGCATCCAAGGTACCAACTGGAAGTTGGATTCACTATTCCTTGGGCTAGGATACATAGATATATAAAGCTACCCACCATGGTATTTTTTCTCAGTAGAATCTACGCCTGGCCAGGCAGGCATTAACATAATTCTTTCATCCATGATTGCCATGAAACTACTTCTCAAGAACAACATCAGGCTAAAGGCGTATATTTTACAACAGAGTAATATACATTTTTCCATCAAAGTTATAAATAAACATATGTACTTTAAGGCCCAACACTACATGGCATAAATTTGACTCATTTTGTTCTTTGAAGCAATCATCATAGAGGTCAAAATTTCTTGAAATATGAGCATGAATGTTCATGCGTTAAGGGACAGATCAAGCAGATATTTAAAGAATGGCCATCAGTAATCAAACATTTGTTTTTCATTTCCTCTCAGTAAGACAGATTCACACCCACAATCACGGGTAGTAATCAAATTCCAGGTCCAGGGCAAAAATAGATAACAGAATATTATAACAAAAAATGTCAATTTGCAATAGGACAAAGCACCTATGTTTTTGCACAAAACATTGAACCTTCAACTCACCATAATTAAGCTTCATAGCACTGACCATCCACAAGGTTCATCTCCTTGTCTTGGCTAGCCAAACAAATCATCATCACTATCATCATTGCCCAAATTACTCTCTGGCCTTAAAGTTACAGCACCAGTTGCAGCACCAGGAGGCTTGCTTTCATCATCTTTTGCTGGAGAAGCTTCCCTTCCTCCAGAATATGCCCAGGAAGAACCCACTTTGCTAGATAATGAGTCTCCATAAAGGTCATCATAAATTCCACCTCTGGCAGGAGCTTTAACTTTATTTAGGACTTGTTGTAGTTTATCAGTCACACCTTTTGGGGAAATACTAACTTCCTTTACGGAGGAAGATTCCTTCCCTTTAGGTATTACTGTCGTTTGTACAAGTGATTCATACTTCCCAACAAGACTACTACCTTCTTTGACACCCATTGGACCAGGCTCTGTCTCTACATCTGCACCATCAGACACGCCAACAACTTCAATCAGCTCTCCCCCAACTTGATCTCTAAATGCCACTCTTGTCTTCTTAATTCTCTTAACAGGTCTTTCTGTCTCATGACTGGCATAATTTCCACCCACAGAGCTAGAAATCTCAGCAGATATAGATACAACTTCGGATTTAGACAGATTAAAACGGTTTACAAATGTATTATAAGCTAATATGGCTTCTTCATCAGAAGGATCAGGGAGCGGGGGCAAGTTAATGGCTGTTGGCAGTGGAGGAGGGAAAAGGGCTGCATTATCCTTTTTTAAGATATAAACCCTAGTCGAAGCAGCAAAGCGCAAAGATTGTCCCACCTCAAGCTCAACGGGAGAATCCTTGGTCAATCTCTCATTTGCAACAAAGGTGCCATGTGCAGATCCTAGATCAATTACATATATACTGCAACACAATAGCTCTCACTACTATCAGCACATAACTAACAAGCAAACTGAATTCACTGAAAGAACAAAAGAGGAACATGGGCAGTAAGCAAATATCAGACCTTCCATTTTTATGAGGAACAACAGCAGCATGTTGGCGCGACACTGATTGATGATCAAGAACGAAATCACATGTTTGAAGCTGCCTCCCAAAGATGTGTCTTCGCTTATCAAGATTAATCCTGTCAAGAACCTCACCATCCTTCAAAACATCAAGATAGTAAACACCAGGACGGGGTTCGATAGCCCAATCAGGAGGCTGCCAAGTAGATTGCCCACCACCAACTTGTGTTACTTGCTGTGGAGCAGTGGCAACCAGCCCTGCATTGTCTGCAGGTTTTTGAGAAAATTGCTGCTGGTTCTGGTGTTGGGTTTGCTGATTTGGAATATCAGAATGGGAATGTAATTGTGTTGAATGAGAAATGGCTTTAGAAGGGGGCTGTGTGGTCGTTGGTTTATTTGCTACCGAAAAGGGTTCTAAAGTTTGTGCCTTTTTGAACCTTTCAAGACCTGTTCTACCATACATGGCTTTCTTTGAATTTCTGAAACAAATTCCTTTAAAGAAAGGAAACAACGTTTCTTTAACTCTGAGGAGGATCTCTTTTCACGTAACATTTCACTCCCATTGAAATCCTATGTTGAAATAGAAAATTATTCATCAGATCAACAGCAAAGAAGATATTCCACTCTCATCCAAGGTTAGGTTTATGTATAGGCAGATTCACCCAAATGCCCTTTATTTACAAGTAGGGCTCAATTAGCTTATATGTAAAATAACAAATTAGAAATCTAGAAAGAAAAACAAAAGCCTGAACTTTATTGGAAGTAAAGATTAAGGTTTAACATAAACCGAGTACAAACCAAAATACCTGGCAAAGATCCTTTTGTCCAGTCCATTGAAAACATAATGGTAAGTTTTGGAACTGGATTTCCTATGGTCTAGGAGTTAGAATCATCAGAGAATCAGCTAAATGTTTTAAACTACATTAGGTTCAACTCCAGTTCCATACCTCAAATTCCATAAAACTCTACCTACAAATAGTCAATTAGATAAAAGAAAAAAATAAATGTCCAGCATAGCATTGATATAAATACGCGTCTATGAAGCTTTAGTATAATTTAACATAAATCAACAAATTGTAAGGCTCCAACCAGGATCAAAACCCAGATAGTAAATTTGGTTTCATGGGGGATGAAATTGAATGGAAAGAGAGCGATTTGATTTAAGCTTAAGAAAACCTAATTGAAAAAAAAGGGAAAAACAGCTTTAGAGTTAGTTACCTGTGAAAGGTTGCATTCATATACGGATTGAAAGAGTTATGGGAAGCGATGGTCATGATTGATTTATCAGAATCGGAAATCCATGGGAGGGAAGGGAAAGAAAACGGGTCTGTGTAGTAATCAGAAATCCATGGGGAGAGAGAAAAAAGGGTTTCGAAGGCGAAAAGTGCAGTGATTTGGGCCCTTGTTACCCCGACGACGGAATATCCAAAACCTCACCCTCTTTGCAAATTTGACCCTGACCAAATTTTAAGATTTAATATATTCAACTAATTTAAAAATAAAAATAAAAACATTAATTTTTTAATAATTTATGACAAATAATATATTTAATTAAAATATATTAGTAATATATATATATATATATATATATATATTAAGATGAATTGATGAAACTATTATAATTGAAGAAGATAGAAATAATTGGGTTATTACATATAAAAATAGATCATTAATTATAGTGTAAATAGTTGTATGGTTCCAAAAAAAAAATATCTTTTGATATTCCACAAAAAAACATGTAGCTCCTTCGGTTATGCTATGTTTTCGGAAGAAGAAATAAATAGGTGTTGATGTTACATGATATAATAATAATAATAATAATAATAATAGTTACAATGCATTATTTTACATAAATATAAATTGTATTGAAGTTGTGAGAGAAGTGTGAATAGAGGTTCCATTGGAACAAAAGAGGAACACGGACAGTAAGCAACTTGAGGTCGCCCCGCAATTCCATTAAACACATCATGCAACCTTTGCCGTGGCCCAATTTGCTTTGTGTCACAAATCACAACCTTCTTGTTTCTTCATTATTGAATGGAAACGTTTGCGATATTCTGATTACATCATTACATTATAGAGATATGTAGTTCTCTCCATCAGTTGGTTTATATATTGATTTTTTAACCCTCTTAAACCTGTTGACACTATATATATATATATATATATATATATATATATATATATATATATATATATATATGTGTGTGTATATATATATATATATATGTATGTGTGTGTATATCCTTTTCATTTTCCGAGCATATATATATATATATATATATATATATATATATATACTGATCATGCAAACATTTACATTTCAAGGCTCATGCATGCATGCTAATGAAATGTTAAATGTTCTTCATTAACTATAATTAACAAATATGATACAAGAAAACCAATGAAGGAACTAGGAAGAGAAGGGAAGCTTGTTTCTAAATCCTAGCTACTGATTTTTGGTTGTGATCAATTAGGCTCCTTGATTAATTTTGGAGTACGATCATCCCTTTGTTCCTCTTCCTTTATACTTGTTGAGTTCGGTTTCTGCTGTCTGCCTTTCTGCATCAGCCACCTCCGCCGTTTTATTAGCTTCGGTAATCTTTGCTTCTATTTCCTTGCTTTCTTCCATGCTTTTCTCCAGCTTCTCAAGGGTTTCTTTCTCTTTTTCTTTGATTGTTTCCACCTGAGCCATGATAGTTGCCACTTTTATATCAGCCGCTGTTCTTGCTTCCTCAGCTTTTCTACTCAAAGCTTCAAATTCTTCGATTGTCAACATGATCATATTATCATCTAACTGTTTCTTACACGACGACCGTTTACGCATTTGATCATTTGCAAGCTCTTCTGCTGCTTTTGCTTCTTCAACCTCTCTTCGTGCAATCTCCAGCTTCTTCTCTGCTTGTATTATTGCCAGCTCCGCACATTGAGCTTCCCTCCAACATGTTTGCACTTGTCTCTTCATATCCTCTTCTTCTTGTCTTGCCTTTTCAGCTTCTAGCCATATTTCATGTAACTTCAGTTCTACTTCCTTTACATCATTTGTCGCTTTCGTTTGTTCTGTAATAACTTGTTCAACTTTGATCTTGATTTGGTCTAGTTCTGCTTGTAATTGCTCTATTTTTAACTCATTTTCCTCGGCCACAGAAATATCCATCCTTACATTCACAAGTTCCTGTTTTAGTGACTCCACCACATCGGTAAGAGAGGTCTCTTCTTCCTTCATTTCTTCAAGTCTCCTTTTCGCCTCATCAAGCTCTGAATTTGCATTTCGTAAAAGCTCCATATCTGCAAAACGTACCTCCTTCAATTGCTCTTGTAATACATTAACTGCTTCAGTTGTTTCTTCGAGCCTTTTTTCAATATTTCCTGGATCCTCGGCTTCTTTCCTTAGACACTGCATTTTCAAGTCAATATCTTCCTTTGCCTTCTTCTTTGACTCTATGAGAAGTTGTTTTTCTTCCATACGCTTGAGATGATCTTGTTCGGCTTTGGCAGAAGCATGTCTGACACGCTCAAGGGTTTGACTCAAGTTGTCAACATCCTTGGAGAGCTCATTCATTTTCTCATGGTTGACTTTTGCAGAATGCTGGGCATCTGCAGCCCTTTGAAAACAAGCCAACTTTGCTTTCAAGGCAGTGTCGAAATCCCGTTTAAGGTTATTAAGTTGTTGCTTGCATAAAATAAGTTCATTAGCAGCGGTTTTGTACTGCTGTCTTTCGTTGTCAAGAGCTTCTTGCCAAGCTCCGTCAGGTGGTTGGGTTTTGCAGGATTCTAATTCTTCCAGTTCTTGGGCTCGAGTCTTTGCAGCCTCTGTTGCCTCGATTGCTGCTTGTTTTGATTCACTGACAGCCTCAAGTTTGTTTGTTAGCTCCTGTAACGTCTTATTGGCATTGTCCAGTTCCTCAAGTGCTTGAATTTTTGTTGATTCTGCAGATTTCACAAGTTCTTTTAACTCGTCAAGCTCCTTGAGGATCCAGTGCAGTTGTGTTTCCTTTCCCAACACACTCTATTATATTTAATTATATATATATAATCAAGACCAAATAATGAATCAATATGAATAGAAAAGAATGGTAATAATTAATTAATATTACCTCCTCAATAGTTATGGTTTTCTTGTGAAGAGGCCTGTCGGCTCTAGGGGATGCTTCACCAAACAAATTAACAGCAGCCTTAACAGATTCGAAGGGTGCCTTGGTATCAATCTCCCCAATTGCTGCTGTACTTGGAGAAGCTGGATCATTGGATGCTCTTGGAGAAGCAGCCACATTTTGGCGGTTTCTTACTTGAAAACCAAACATCATTTTCTATAATCCACCTTCATTTCATAGATTCCATGCACATTGCAATATAAAACATTAAAGAAACCAACCATTGAGAAATTTACCCAATAAGATCTAATTGAAGGTAATTAATATGAAGATAGATAAGATACATACCGGCCTCCAAGGATGGGCTGCTTCTTCTCAGAACTTTTGTGAATCAGATTATATGAATATGTTGTGCGCTTGGAAAAACATTACAGGGGAAAGAGAAGGGAAATCAAGATTCTCCCTTTCTTTCTCTGTGTGTATTTTCCAAACGAGGAGGGAGGGGCATGCCAAAAATTGGAGAATCTGACCGCAAAAAACAGAAAACAAAAGGATGGTCAAACAAATTTTGTGGGATACAATGATCATCTTGGATATATGTTTCTTACTAAATATAGAACTTCCCGTCTCTTGTTTTCAGAAGATATCTATATATATATATATACACACACACAGACAAAAGAAATGTATGCATTCTACCTTCCACTTTTACGGTTTACAAATCTTTCAGTTATAAACTTACAAAATAAAGCTTGGGCCTTTCAATTAATTAATATTCAAAATAGGGCCTTTTATTTGGAGATAAATATATATCTTAATCAAGGATATATTAGTAGGGCCACCCCACATATATCGCTTTCATATTGAAAGAAAAACAGACAGATTAAAACACACAAACGAAAGGTACAGAGATGGAAGAAGCAGATCACCATCCATTGTCCGAAAGCAAGGTGGCAAAGGGACGAGTCTTGTTCAAGCTCTATGCAGCTTCGATGCTGATGGATATGTGTCTGATATGTGCATTCAGAGCAATTCATGCACCAGCTGGAAGATATTCTTGGATTGGTTTGTTTATGGCTGAAGTATGGTTTACCATCTACTGGCTTATTACTCAGTTGGTTTGTTGGAATCCCGTTCACCATTCTCACAGGTAATTCTTCTTCTGTTCCATCCCGCCTAGCTAGCTAGCTACTATCTTATCTTCAATGTGTGGCTGGCTGTATCTGGCAGTTATGAGAAGGTGCTACCAGGTGTAGATATATTTGTGTACACAGCAGACCCAGTGATAGAGCCACCATTAATGGTGATAAACACAGTTTTGTCTGCCATTGCATATGATTACCCGCCAGAAAAGCTCAACAACTAAGTCTCTGATGATGGTGAATCAGAGTTGATGTTCTATGCACTGCTAGAGACTTCTTGTTTCTGCAAATATTGGCTACCCTTTTGCAAAAGGTACAAAATAGAGCCGCGTTCACCCTCCGCTTACTTTACTGAAGCCCACATATCTCCCATAACAAATGAATGGTCATCCATCAAGGTATATAATAATATACCTTCTGTTTGCTTGTGAATTGAGTCTCAAACATGAAATTACCAGCAGCTAGTTAAGCGCCTTCAAAATGAAACAAATATATCTATCAAATATGCAGAACTCATCTTCTAAGCGCTTACAATGAAGAAGATAATAATAATCAATTTGCATTCGAAGTGCTTGCTTTGATGACTGCAGATTTATGACCAAATGCTTATGTTTAGTCTATCTTTTACATTTTCTCATGATAGTCTAGGGTGTAATGTGTAAATATTGTTAGGCAATCAACTCAAGGTTTTGGCTTTTCAATCTTCTTCGTTGGTTTTTCATCTTCAATCCAAAAACTAACACTGTATAAACAGAATAAATACGAAGAAATGAAGAAATGAATACTCACAAAGCCGGAGGAATTAACAGAAGAGTTGAAAAAAGAGCACAGAGGTTTCAAGAATGGGAAGTCGGTTCAAGCAAATGTGACCATCAGGCTATTGTCGAAGTATTCCACATCTTTCACATAAGATTACCAGCTTATAGAATATACCTTATACATCATACTCCTCATGATAATCATACTGTCTTTTGCTATTTATGAATCTTACAGATACTGATTGATCAATGAGATCCCAGTGCCATAGATACCGAAGGGAATACTTTGCCAGCTTTGGTATACATGGCACGTGAGAAGAGACCTGAATGGCATCATAGCAGGAGCCATGAACGCCTTGGTACGCTAATCTATCTCACACATCATGCATGTATTGAGGATTTACCTTTTACTCTCAAGTCTGATAATTGTAAATGAATGAGCAGATAAGGGTGTCATCGCAGATACGCAACAGCGAAATTATTCTAAATATGGACTGCGACATGTACTCGAAACAATTCAGAATCCATACGAGATGCAATGTGTTTTTTCATGGATGAGCAGAAGAGCCAGCGGATTGTGTTCATACAATTTCCACAGAACTTTGACAACCTCACAACAAACGATGTTTACAGCAATTCTTCAAGGGTCATCAATGAGGTAAGACTCAGTAAGGCACTTCCAATATAATACAATGTTAAATCAGGTGTATTGGCCACAGCACTATCTCACATAATCTATCCAGTTTGCCATTTTGCTTCCCTGTTCTACTTTAAGCAGATAGTACAACACTACATAGAAATTAGAAACAAACAAACCTGCAGAGTAAGTTAACAGTTTTACCTTGCATTATCTTGGGTGAAGTTTTATTCTTTGATTTTATAACTAAATTAGTTTTGGAGATTGGAGGTTTGGACTCTAACGTGGGGTGCCTATATGTCGGAAGTGGGTGCTTTCACAGGAGAGATGCTCTGTGTGGCCGAAGCTATAGCAAGGACACAAGATTTTAACTGGGATAAGGAAAATCACAAAACAATGATAGAAGGTATTGATGTGCTCGAAAAGGCATGCAAAATTCTAGCAATCTGTACCTATGAACAAAACACTCGATGGGGAAAGGAGGTCCTCTTTCTCTCTCTCTCTCTGTGGATCTCTCACAAAAATAAAAATAACAAGTGTAATAACCTTGTAATAAACTATACCCTTACAGATGGGACTGAAGTATGGTTGTGCAGTGGAAGATGTCATTAATGGGATTGCGATAAAATGTCGAGGTTGGAGATCTGTCCCACTTCAACCCAGAAAGAAAAGGGTTAATGGGACTTGCTCCAACTACACTATTGCAGACATTGATACAAACTAAAAGATGGGCAGAAGGCGACTTTCAGATATTTTTATCCAAGTACTGTCCCCTTGTATATGGGCATGGAAGGATCCCACTAAAACTTCAGATTTCATATTGCTGCTACCTGTTATGGGCTCTAAATTGCTGGGCTACACTCTATTATGTTGTTGTCCCTTCTTATTGTCTCCTCAGAGGCATCTCTCTGTTTCCAAAGGTTTTAACTTTTGAGCATTTTAGAATTGATTCTATCTGAATTGTCCTCTGCCAGTTGAAAATTGATTCAAATCTATATTTTTGTCCCTTCATTCTTTTGATTTCTCCTATTGCTTAAATCCTCAGAGCAGCATTTTTACTTTTCATGCCTATAGTTATCGAGCTACTGGTTCCTACCTTTTGCATATGTATTTGTTGGAAAATATGCTTACAGCTTAGGAGAGTTTTACTGGACAGGGGAAACACTAAAAGGTTGGTGGAACGACCAAAGAATGTGGCTGTACAGAAGATTAACTTCCTATCTTTTTGCATTCTTTGATGTTGTGCTCAAGTCAATGGGGTTCACCAATACAAATTCCATCATCACATCAAAGGTTGCTGATGAGGATGCATCTCAAAGATACAATAGAGAGATCATGGAATTTGGTGCTACCTTCCCGATGTTCAACATTTTATCAACGCTTGCGCTGGTCAATCTTTTCAGTTTTCTCAAAGGAGTCAAGTGGGTGATTTGTGGATTCAAACACCAATTGCTTTAGTGAATTAACAGCACAGATGATCCTGTGCGGTTTAATAGTTCTCATCAACCTGCCCATATACCAAGGGCTCTTCCTTCGGAAGAACAATGGTCGCATGCCCTCCTCTATTACCTACCAGTCAACTATTTTAGCTATATTATTTTGTACATTAGCTTCTACTTAGATTACAACACACAAAAATATGTCCCATTTCATTTACTACCAAGAAGTTTAAAAGTTCATTGTACATTCTAAGATGATTTCCCCTTCATCTCTGTACTATCTGATGTGCATCTGTTTTGTCATCAAGCATCAAGATTCTGGACAATATAGGTGATGAATGCAGGAGGAAAGGAATTGCAGCACACAATATGTTACAGCCTAGTAAATAACAAATTCAAGTTACAATGCATTATATCGGTAGTTATGTGAATGAAGCATGAAAAAAAAATGTAATGGTTTATTACAACATTTTGAAAGAAAGACGATATTAACTAGTAGCTAAGTTGGTCAAACAGCACAATCTCCTTCTCACAACCTGGATTGACCCATCCTTGAAGTTGGCCTGCAATAAACAAAATTCTTTCAAGAACATTCTAAAGTAATTAAATTGGTGTTGTACAATTTGTGGCAGTAAAAACACCAAAATTCATGATCAAAATATTGTAACTTGCCTCTTTCAAGGAGCCTAAGGAGATTAAATTTGCATGTGAGAAATCACAGATATATATATATATATATATATATATATATTAGTTCATCTTGTCTTCCATGTTGCTTCAGTTTGCAAACCATCCTAGAGGTTTGTGTGACTAATGCAATACACGATTATGAGATACTTACTTGCAAGAAGTTATGACCTTCATACTGCAACATTCACCTCATACTCACCAATTCTACAAAATAATATACTTATCTTGGTTTACTCAAAGTTACAACGCACTTGTCTAGTCCCTGCCTTCCCATTATATCTTTGTATCTTCCATGAGGACCCATTGAGATTACAAATTTTACTTCTCGAATCATAATAATACTTTAATACTATTACTTTTTGTAGTCTCAACTGTCATTAGTAGTCTTCATCTCTGTCAAAATAATTGACTTGACTTCCCAGATTATTCTATTTATTTGTCATTATCATCAGGCAAGATTGCTTTTCCTGTTTAGACTATACTAGTCAATTTGCTTTTAGAGTAATAGTTATTTCTTGAAGGGCATACTTCACAAACGTGTATTTGGGCATCATCTCTTGTTATGAATTCAATATACAAGTCATTGCTCCTAGTGGACTTACATGAGCTCCAGAACAAGTGCAGATGCTCCTCCACCCCCATTGCATATACCAGCAGCCCCGAACCTTCCATTCTTCTGCCTTAATACCTGCAAAAACACATGCCATGGTTGGGCAACTTGTATTCTTACTTGGTGTAAATGTTTTCATATGTAATTGTAAGCAGCATCCTGAAGATAAACTCAATTAGTAGGATTCAACAAGTGTTGGATAATATAACAAACTACAATTTCATACAGTAAACAATTACATTACGCAAAATTAAAAATCTGAAGGTGTAGAACATATCCTGTTTATATAGCAGATGTGCACCCACATAAAAAGCAAGCAAGCACAAAGTTCAAACTAGCATAAACATACCCCTAGCAAGGTGACCAAAATCCGCGCTCCACTACATCCTAGTGGATGTCCCAAGGATACAGCTCCACCATGAGCATTAAGTTGTTCCTGTAAAAAGTTGAGAATGCTAAACATATTCACAAAAATGTGTGAGATATAAAACTTCAATATGGACAATCAATTTTATCATTCCATTCAACTCTGTAATACATGACACCAATCCAAAATCACAGAAAAAAAGCCAGAGACTCACATCACCAATTCCTAGCAGCTTCTGGTTGGCTAAGGCCACAACCTGCAAGGCCAAAGAGAGAAATAACACGAGATACCAAAAGGCGCTAAAAATGCAAGACATGTATGTATGGACGCATAAATACTTACAGAAAAAGCTTCATTTATTTCATAGTAATCAATTTGAGAAGCCTTCAATCCAGCATTTGAAATAGCCTTTGGTATAGCAAGGGCTGGAGCAGTAGTAAATAATTCAGGGGCCTGTTCAGCCAATTGAGTTGCACTTTTCAGCCTGTCACAGATTTTAACCAATCAAGGTGAAGGTTTTGGCGATACCTGAGCAGCATCAGCGAAACCTCTTATTCTAGCAACCACTTTTAATCCAAGTTGTGATGCCTTTTCTCCACTCACTAGCACCAATGCAGCTGCACCATCACTGCTCAGAAAATACAATCACTTACACTGAATCAAGTACCCCTTGTGTTCTCACAATGTTGCATTAGCATACATATGGCATGATTTTCCAACAAATAGTTCACTAAGATGACCATCCAACATGTGCATTTATCATCTTAATAAGAAATTTGCACATATCCATGAAGAAAGAGAGTGCAAATACAAACTCACTTAGCATACAAGCACACAAAAAGCATACAAAACAAGCTTTATGGCACATGCAGATACGGATTCCTGTTTGTAAGAAATTTGCACATATCCATGAAGAAAGAGAGTGCAGATACAAACTCATTTAGCATATAAGCACACACAAAGCATACAAAGACAAGATTTATGGCACATGCAAATACGGGTTCATGTTTGTACTGACAAGCAACAGACACACACATGCACACACACTCACACACAGAAGGAGCAAACCTTATACTTGAAGCATTGCCTGCAGTAACAGAACCACCTTTGACCTTGAAGCTAGGTCTTAAATTCCTCAATTTTGTAGCATCAAACTACACAGAAATAAGAATTATGCAAACCATTACTCCATAAGTTATAACGGAAAAAACAAAGACTGTTATAGACCTAATTATGTGAAAAAGATAGTTGTTTGTTCTTCTTTTAGTAAAGTATTACATGCGTCGATTGTCACATGACACATCCACTTGGATTTGAATGGAAAATATTCTTTTACGGTGCGTTTGGAATGTGGGACTCTATAGGACATGACAGAACATAAACTTGTTCACGTTTGGTGTGAGTGTGACAAAACTAGACTGGGAACGGACAGGATTGAATGAGACGAAAATGCATTTTTATGTCCCACCAAAATATATGGAACAAAAATAAGAGATGGGACAAGCTTAATAATCACTAAACTACCCATGTCATATCATGTGCAATTAATCTGAGCTCAAGATGTTCAAATTGTCATTCGCCTACAGATGTCATTATCAAGACCTGCAAACCCATTCAGATGATATGTGCCTATGAATCCTACTTACCTTTGTCAAACCCTCATCATTATCAACAATCGTTGGTGCCTTCCCTCTTCCCCCAGAAACTTTCACCTACAAAAGAAAGCACCATCGTTAGATGATTTAATCACATGCGGCCTCTAGTTGAGCATAACTATTTGAATCTCACCGGAACTATTTCCCATTTGAAGGCACCATTCTTTTGCGCAGTAATTCCACGATTGAAACTTCTAACAGCATAGTTATCCTAGTAAAATGAAAATAAGGTAAACGAGCAAAACATTAAATAAGTCCTATTCAGATGTCCAGAGTGTTGTCAAATGAAGAAAAACTGCACTATGTTGTCCATGCAAATAAGACTCAAATATTAATTACTTTACACAAGCTCATACTCCATCTTATACTTATGCTTCCCATTTTTCTGCAAAAGGTTACAAGCCAAGAACTAATAGAAACAGATAGATTGCTAGATAGATTGCGGTTTAGTAATTATGAACTTCAAGATATATGTTTTTTACAACAATAGATGTTGAAAAGCCTACCTGATCTTCTCGGGTTATCTTGTAATGCTCAGCACATAACTCGCCACACACTCCCATTCCAAAGTCGTTGTAAACATCCCATAGGCCATCTTTGATCATGCCATCAATGACAGCATCATGTCCTAGCCGAGATCCCTTTCTGTTAATTAATATAAATATTATCAGCCTTGCATTTACCAATACCCTAAAAATACATAGACACATGAATATTCAAACAGTTCAATCAGACAGTTCCAGAAGCTCTCTCTATTTCATATCTCAGACTTTTGAATGCCATGAGATTTGGTAAGATTTATGGGTTAGCATCACTATCAAAACCTGAAGGGAGTAAACTGTACATTTGATGAATCTTTTATATTTTTACATTAGTGCCAACATAAACCAAGTTAGACCTACAAACCAAATTCCACTCAATAACCGCATGACTGGGGTTCAAGCCTCAGAGGTGGTGGTGTGTGTTTAGCTTACTATACTCACTGACGCACATATAATACATATGCATATATAAATACACTAGGTTCGATCCCATGTATTACTAGAGGTAATTTGAAAAAAATTAAATCACGTCAGGAACTTATCTTACAAATATGAATGATCATCAAAAGTACGATGCTACTTCAGACTTGTACTCTTGAAATAACTCTGAAGTATAACTCTAAAGAATAACTCTAAAAAATGACTTTTCAGACTTGAATTTAGAAATGAAACTATATCAATAATTAGTTAAAATGAAGCTAACCCTAGAATAAAAATAAATTTAGAAATGAAACTATATCAGTAAATTGAATTTAAAATTAGAAGTAAATTTAGAATGACTCTTCAGACTTATACTCTTGAAATAACTCTGAAGTAAAACTCTTCAGACTTCAAAGCTCTGTATAGGCAAGCCAAAAGCTCTGAATACACTATGCAAAGGCTCTGCATGGTGCTTCGTCTGGAAAAAAAGACTTCAGAGCTCAGGTAAGCTAACTCTGAAGAATGACTCTTCAAACTTGTACTCTGAAGAATGACTCTTTAGACTTGTACTCTTGAAATAACTCTGAAGTATAAAATTAATCCCACTAAATCAGAGTTCAGACTTCTAAGTCTGAAAAAAAAAGACTTCAGAGTTCGGGTAAGCTAACTCTGAATAATGACTCTTCAGACTTGTAGAAGACTTCAGAATTCAGACTTCTAAGTCTGAAAAGAAAAAGACTTCAGACTTCTTTTTCTAAGTCTAAAAAACGACTTCAGAGTTCAGACTTCTAAGTTTGAAAAAGAAGACTTCAGAGTTCAGACTCTAGAGTTCGGGTAAGCTAAGTCTAAAAAAACAGACTTCAAAGTTCGGGTGAGCTAACTCTTTAGAATGATTCTTCAGACTTGTACGCTTGAAATAACTCTGAAGAATGACTTCAGACTTGTACTCTTGAAATAACTCTGAAGTAAAACTCTGAAGAATAACTTCAGACTTGTACTATTGAAATAACTCTGAAGAATGACTTCAGACTTGTACTATTGAAATAACTCTGAAGAATGACTCTTCAGACTTGAATTTAAAAATGAAACTATATCAATAATTAGTTAAAATAAAGTTAACCCTATAATAAAATTAAATTTAGAAATGAAACTATATTAGTAAATTGAATTTAAACTTAGAAGAGCGCATGTGTCAAATCTGAAGACGAAGTCTGAATACTTGAGTTCAGAGTTATTCAAATACCCAATATCTTTGAAAAAGACCCCATGGTAAAGTTTGCATCATAGAGAGCAAGCCCAACCAGAGCTCGTCTGGTCCTTTAAGGACCAGAAAGCCTGTGGACTCACCAATCAAAAGCAAGGCCAACCAAAGGCCCTTTGGTCAACCAAAGCCTCTGGGTCAACAAAATGTTAAATACTTAAAGAATTTGAGTTCCAATTACAACCATTGGTTAAACATGAAGATCAACCAGAGCCCCTTTGGTTCCTTTATGATGGATTGAAATATTTTTCCGAGGTTCAAATAAACAATCAGAAGCAAAGTCATCCAGAAGCCAGACCAACCAGAGGGACTCTGACTTACAAGACTAAATCTAAGTCTTAAAGACTTATCTTCAAAGTCTAGATAAGTTTATTACAAGACTTGTACTCTTGAAATTACCTGAAGTAAAACTCTTCAGACTTCAGAGCTCTGTATAGGCAAGCCAGAAACCCTCTGCATGGTGCTTCGTTTGGAAAAGAAGATTACAGAGTTCGGATGAGCTAACTCTGAAGAATGACTCTTCAGACTTGTACTCTGGAAATAACTCTGAAATAAAACTCTGAAGAATGACTCTTCAAACTTGTACTCTGAAAACAACTCTGAAGTATAAAATCAATCCCATTAAATCAGAGTTCAGACTTCTTAGTCTGGAAAAAAGACTTCAGAGTTCAGACTTCAGAGTTCGGGTGAGCTAAGTCTGAAAAAGAAGATTTCAGAATTCTGGTGAGCTAACTCTGAAGAATGACTCTTCAGACTTGTACTCTTCAGAATTGTAGAAGACTTCAGAGTTCAGACTTCTAATTCTGAAAAAGAAGACTTCAGACTTATTTTTCTAAGTTTAAAAAAAAGACTTCAAGGTTCAGACTCCTAAGTCTGAAAAAGAAAACTTCAGAGTTCAGACTCCAGAGTTCGGATGAGCTATGTCTAAAAAAGCAAACTTCAGAGTTCGGGTGAGCTAACTCTGAAGAATGACTTCAGACTTGTTCTCTTGAAATAACTCTGAAGTAGTCTGAAGTAAAACTTTCCAGTAAATTGAATTTAGAATAAAATGAAGTTAACCCTAGTATAAAATTGAATTTAGAAATGAAACTATATCAGTAAATTGAATTTAAACTTAGAAGTAAACACCATATTTTTTCGGGAATCAGTTACCACACGAATTAATTAACCCAAGAATAAAATCAATTGCATCCTAAATTAGTGGGATTGATTGAATAAGATGACACATGTCAATCAAATGAGTATAATTGAACGGTTAATGTAAATTGTGTCTAGATACGTTCAAAAGTCTAATTGAACCACTAATGTAAATTGTGTCTAGATACGTGTTTAGGCAGGAAAACAAGAAAACCGACTCACCAGAAGATGACACGTGTCACCCAAGTTACTTATTTATTATAAGTATAGATATATGTGTGTGTACATACCCAATAATATACATGAACACACCTACAGACATACATGAACAGTGTAATTATGAATAAAAAATATCAAAGAAGATAGAAGCGTCCAAGATTTTGCAAATATAGATCTCAATCTGTTTCACCACGTTAGAACATAGATAATTAGAAACAGGCAGAGACAATTTATGCACAACAAGAAGGCAAACCTTGATCCTGCTACATATTTAGGTGTATTAGACATGCTTTCCATGCCACCAGCCACTACTATATCATTAGCACCAACTTGAATGCTCTGTACTGCAATCATCGTTGCTGAGTTGAAAAAAAGAAACAATATCATTGCTTAGTTCCATATTGTATTATTATATATAACCACAAAATTCAATAAACGTAAAACCAACCTTTCATCCCTGAAGAACATACTTTATTAATGGTTGTACAAATCACTGTATCTGGTATTCCTGCACCTAATGCAGCCTGTCTGGCAGGAGCTTGACCTAAATTTGCACTGAGAACATTTCCAAAGAAAACTTCTTGCACTAGCCGTGGATCGATGTTAGCTCTTTGTAGAGCACCTACAGCATTGAAATAATAGAAACATCAAGAGATCATTTTAGAGTAATATTGAAGGACTCTTGAAGCTCATGGCACATAAGAAAAAGAGAAACATGGTCATTGGTAACTCACATTCAATAGCTAAGGATCCAAGCTCGGTTGCTGACAGAGATGAAAGAGAACCAAGGAAGTCCCCCATAGGCGTTCGTGCAACACCCACGATACAAACATCTGTGAATCAAATTCAGTACACAATTACAAAATGTGGGAAGTTGAGTCTTTAGTGTATACATTAGTTGATGCGGTAATTGGAGGTTACACTGAAATTGGTTAATAGAAAAGAGTCATCTGGTTCGCGTTGCTATATTCTGGAATTATTTTTTTTGTTCTTTCCTAACACAGAGTACGTTCATACCAAGACCACCAACCAAGAGAAAGAGAAAGAGAAAGAGAAAGAGAAAGAGAAAGAAATATAGTAAATTTAGTTTTGAACTGTAAACTGGCATGGATCAGCAATGGTTACCCTTAAAATTGAAGAGAAACCATTGACCATATTTGTTGCAAGAAAGATCAGAAGCAGGATATAGCAACAAAGAATTGAAAGGTACCTCGAGGGTTAATGTGATCGGGATGAGGCATGATGGAAAATTGTGCAAGAAAAAAGATAAGGGGAAGAAGACGCGTAGGAACAGTAGAAGTAGAGGGTTGGAGCGTGGAGGTGGGTGACGATGTTTCGTTTGTTTTTCTTCCTTTTGACGGCAACGAAGGGCGAAGGCGAACTAACACTTTTTTTTCTTTTATCTTTTTAGATTATCTCCGCTCAAAACTCGGTCTTAAATTAAAAAAATAGGGAGAGGATAATGACACCCCTCTCTGCTGCTAACGACATTTTTAATACTACTTCAATCATATTTTTTTGGTTTTTAGTGTTGTTTTTGTCTTTTTATTATTATTACCTCTTGTTTTATTATTATTTTAAATTTTTTTAATTAATATCTGTTATTGATTTTTTAATTATATCATATTTTAATTAATATAAATTATTAATAAATA